ATTCGTCTCATCCGGAGCGCTGCTATAGATACTTGGATAAGCTACTGGGAAATTCCGCTAATGGATGGAGATTAGTATCTCATAATCGGCTTTTTTCCACATCCGCAAGAGCCTACATACATACCATCTACATACCTGCGTACGTGGATACCTACTAGGTACATCCTATATATACGAAGGCTAGCCGCATGACCGCATAATCCGCATAATGGTTGCCACGTATTACCGTCACCATGCTTTCGCCCTAGTAGATGTGAAATCGATAGGCTCATCTTTTTTCAGTTATAATACGTAGGTAGCAGTTTTGGGATAGTACAGGATCCAGACCGCAATTTTGACAGGACGCAATCAGGTGGGCGGACCGCGGTAGCCAAGAAGGAGTGGGAAAATCCCCTTAGACCGGCTACTGCGCCTATGAGCTGAACCTTGCTTTGGATCTAGTTGGACCTACTGCACTGTACCGCATTTGAAGCACAAGTGAGCACACCGACAATTGGTCCTGTAGGCCTTGTAGGCGGGTCGGCGACCTGTAACCTGTAACCTTTCTGGACACCTAAGGTACCTAAGCAAGATAGACCCAAACTCTCGGGCTTGGTGGCTTTCACAAGCTTGCAGGCGGCAGAAAAATGATTGGATAAAACCTAGTTCGAGCCAATCAAAAGCCCTAGTACTACACTCACGTGACTGAATATGCATGCAGCGAGCCGCTCCCGTAAATTGGGACCCCGTTTTTACTAGTCTTTAGTTGATTTAGTTAAGTTGTTTGCTGGCCCGTGGGTACCGTGGGCCCCGAGTCGGCTGCCGACTATTCGTACATAGTATGTGGATATCTGCTTTTGTGCCGCCTTTTTTTTTTCCTTTCCTTTTCTCCCCTTCCAACTTTTTCGAGGTAACTTGCAGCGTACCGCTTATGGAATAATATCACCGTAGTAGTTACTTAGTACATACATATGAATATCTTCACAAAATGCAGTAAAGCTTATGAAGATCTCTCACCAACCTAACCTAACTAGAAATCGGAACTCAACCACCACATGCATTCGGTATTTAGTTTTACAATTATATTGTACATAGTAATGTCAATACCCTGTCTTAATACGTTGTTTCCTAGAACCGTAACCCCCCTTCTCATCGTCTTTCTAGGATGAGGGAAGCAAGGGGGTTGTCCGTCAATGGCTAGAATGACCTTTGTTTCCGACTATGGTTCCAACAGGGAAACCCCCCCTTTTTTGTTGAGATTGTCACGTTGAATATCTGATCGCCATTATCACGAGCTGGATAGTCCGTACGTAAAGACGGGGTCAGTTGACAGCTTCTCGCTTACCATACTATCACTACCATCATTACCTATCTTACTCCGAAAAGCCATCTACCTGGTCTCATTGGCTAGAACGGGTATAGCCGGACTAACTCGGCGTATGCCAAAGAAACTAACATGACCCAATAAAGCAGGAAAGACCGTAGATAATCTGTCGATAGTGTGCCAATCTTCGCGTTGACCATCTGGACCACTGGGGAAGCTAGCGGTTCTCTCTCCACCGGCGCAGCTGTTACGTCTTACTTCCGACCATCTCTCTACTACTGTAGGTATTTAACGATCTACCTACCTACCTACTTAGGCATGAATTCTGCATTGTATATACATGTACAGCAATTTTTCTTGACACAGCTGGGGGCGGGACTGGGGATGCATGTCATTGACATAGCGCGCCCCTCTAGGATCGTGGTTCTAGACTGCGGATCAACAGAGTTTTATGAAACCTAACCTAGACGAGCGTCGCATCGCCAACATTCTGAGGCCATACACTATATGCTATACTATTGCATACTATGGCTATTGTCATCTAACAGCCTACCCCATGCAAAGAACAAACCCGCCTGCTCTACAGTAATAACCTACCTAATCTCGATCTGCATCATCAATTCGAGCAAGGAATGCTCGGCCCCTGCCTGGTGAAAGGGGCTCAAGGGTTCTTCTACCGTGTTGTGGCGAGCATATTGTAGGTGCACATCGATATAGTAGACTTCCATGATGCCTGCGACAAGCGAGGAATAAGTTCCATATTATGCCTATCTTAATAGGAAGAAAGACGCTACTTCAATAAGGGCGCGTACGCCGGTCCAATTGCTAGGGAAGAAATTCCGGTACTACTTGACAACTTAGGTATTGATTGTAAGTATCATGATCCTTTATAGCTAGAACGTGAATCTTTAAACTGTCATAACAAAATATTGTTGGCATATTGTTCGTCACGAATGATCGGTTAGGATCGCCCTTCAGTTTCAAGCCTTCTTACGCTAGGTAACCCCCCTGGGTCAGATCCAAGTTCGTAGGACTATGAGAGTTTAGTTTGACAAGCCCAGCCTCGGCAAGCTTTCCCATGGGTCCAAAAATCCACATTGCCATGCTTAGCAATGGGATTTGGGCTAATGGCAAGTTTTCAAGCTTATAGGCGCAGGTAGGCAATCTGGAGCGAAGCCAACTGCAAGCGCTTCGTATGTGACCCCCGTGGGCGTCTCACAGTAGCTACGTGGTCACGCGAAGTCGCAACGCCACGTAATGACTTGCGTTTTCCCCATTAATAGCCGGCTAGAGCTCGTCATTGACTCGAGGCGGTTTCGAAATATATGCCAGTGTATTATAGTTAATAATCACACCTGTGATGGTATTTGAGTATGAGGCAGTCAATAAACTCCAAGCCGATCCTACGTAAATAGCAGCGTGGAGAATCAGCGGTGAGATTTGGGGGGTTTCTTTTTAGCCAAATAATTGCAAACTTGTACCAGACTATTTATTATAAATATGAAGCGTAAAGACCTATTATGGAATATATATATGTCAAGGGTTGTATCGGATCGTACTTTTTGTCTAGATGAGTTACACTCATACAAAAGCGTATGCCAGTAGGTAGCTGAAAATCCACAGTGTAGTACCGGGCTTCATATCGCTCTATTAGTATCCCATGTACGTTCACAAACTCGATATAAGGACTTACCTACATGTATGTAGGTATATGTACGGAAATATGAAGAAGGTACTCACATCCATGGATGTATGAATTCCCTAGGGTCCCACATGTTAGATCTCGTCGAACACGCCTCCTCGTCTGTTCGACTGCGCGCTTGCCTCTTGCCTGCCCGTTAGCTGTCAAACTGCCGCGGCGTCTGTCATACGGAGCTACTCAATATGGACAGGTACGTAGGTAACATAGAGAGCACTACCGTATCACAGAAATTGCCATATAGTCCTAAGGTTATAGCAATAATAAGACTTCCAAATGATTATTTTACTCCCCATATGTGCGTAAGTAAAGGTAGCAATTACAAGGACCAAACACGAATATTAATATGTACATGTGTATGTACCTCGTATGGGTGTACACACACATATTTGAAAGTTAGGTAAGGCATGTACCTAGGCAGGCAGGCAGGCAGGCGCGTACATATGTATACGTAAGCTCAAGTGCTGCTTAGGGGAGAGTACAGACGGTACCCGGGTACGTACATACATCCATTAAGATTTCATTGTGCCTTCCCACAATACATGAAACTTTAAAGATCTGTCACGTCACTTACTACCTAACGAACGAACCTTTTTTTTTTTTTCTTCCTACACCTAGGTAGGTAGGTGACCCCGGTTGTTACTACCTATTATTTCAAAATGCCTGGAATAATCAATCCGGGTATAAAGGAAAATATATGATTTAAAAAGGTTTCATCGTCATTTCTTACCTTCAGGGCTACAACCTACATACATCAATGATACAACATCCCTCTCCTCTTACCCATGCACATCCAGCCATACAACATACACATATATATACATGGAGTACCAATCAATTAATCAATTAATCAATTAATTAATCCATCCATCCTTTTCATCTACATAATATACATAATACATGATACATACGGTACCATCCCAACCTTTACATTCATCCATCTCGCGTGTCTCTACCCCGTGTGTGTGTCCATTCCCTTGCTGCCGGGCGGCAAGAATTACTACGACTGGTTCCCAATGAATTCAGCTCACTGGAAATGCTACGCTTAGAAAGACCTGCTATAGCCCATCCCTCGTGCATTTTACCCGAACATGCAGGCTGACAACTTGCAGCAGTGCAGAGACCCGGCCAAGAAGCGCTGGTCGATGCCCAAAGCACATCCATTACACAAAAAACCTGAAAAACAAGGTCCGCCATGGCCGTCGAGGCGATTCTCCTTCTGGCCTTTCGGCCGTTTGTCTCTGCAGTCGCCGTCACAGGGGAATTTAAAAAAGACGCATAGCAGTCCAACGAACTGATACCATCCATGCGACATGCGCAATGCGCGTCGGTGGCATCTCTTACACTACGTCCACCCCACTGCTTATCGCGGACGCACTTCCGTTTTCTTCACCTTGCAGACGCCCGTGACGCCGTACATACGTCCTGCGTCTTTTTGTTCAAAATCGCCGCGTATTGTCGACGCCCGGTCCCTTGCCGCCAGGCCACCTAAAAGGTCGGACCCAGATTCGCCTTTGCTTTGGACCCGTGTATGTAGTATACGTTTATGCTACACCCACCCAGTCCAGATATTAAAAAAAGGGCCATGCCGCAACTATGGTAGTAGGCTTTGCTACTACCTACCTAAGGTACTACTACTACACATCATGCATATTTGCATACCTGGATACATATGCACTTCCTCTGGTGACTCTGGCCGTCTGCGGTCCGCTGCGAAGTTTGCAGATCCACTTGCATAGGCACATAGGCACAGGCGTATATCTACATAAGTATGTGCGATGTATGGGTCAAACCACCTAGACTCCAACAACACGCCCTGGAAAGGAAAGAAAAAAAAAGATTTCATGACTCATCGCACACTAATATGCCGACGGAATGGATAACGTGGTAGTACACGTCCTATCCGTGACACCCAAAGAACCAATGCACCTGCGGGAGGCACTGTCCGAAGCGCGCCCGCCGGGGGGGGGGGGGGGTTAAGGGATTAATGGGAAGAAGATCCATTTGGACCATGCAAGGCATGGGATCATGTACGACCGACAAGGGACCTATTGTACACGCTTCAACTCTCCACGATTTCGCGGCCCATCGGCTCCAGTTTTTATTGCTTTTCATCGTTGCAATGATCGAGCCCGTCGTTGCGTGCCGTGTATCCTTCCCGCAACCGCCTCTCCCGATTAGCCCGTTTTAGTGCGTACGGTAGGTACCATAAAACTGTACGATGATATCGAGGCGGTGAACATTACCGTAATTGTCGAGTCTCGTCATATGCCAAAAAGGGAAAATCTGCTATGCTAGAAGAGTGCTAAGAAGGTAGGTGGTTACGATGTTTACCGTGCCTATCCCTACATAAGGTACCCTAGGTAGGTACCTACTTTAGGGAGTACCTATCCAATCACTAATTACACGCCTAGACTCTTAGGCGCTAAACCCCGAGGTCCCGCTATGGAGTCCGACACTAGGTACCTAGCTAGGTATGGTAAGTACCTAATCAATCACCAAAACGAAAGTGGAAAAAAAACAATCCCCCAAAGTATCCAAGAAGTTAGCGATATGTCTCCGGCGACGCATACTTGAAGAGAGTACGCCGAATAGTTAGTAGAAGGAAAATTGTTGGAGATACCGAATGGAATTGCTTGCACTTCAAGACATTATTGTAAAGACTGGCGGCTGAGACAACAAAGGAAGATCCGACGATCTCACAGATTATTCAGCTCGAAACAACGGAATGGCCGAGATCAACAGGATACACTTCAAGTAAGCTGGATCCTTATTCCACTCTGATCTGATTCGTTACCCGCATTCTCCTCCTTCCCTATTTTGCAGATATTGTTTGTCTTTTTTGGATGATCTCATCTACACTTGGGCGTTACAGCTCGTTCCAGTTTGGCATCAAGTGCATGTCAATAACTAGCTCATTGCGACGCATCGAAGAAGAGCAAATTTAATGTACCTCTACACTATGGACAATGGGGCATCAACCCGACGGAGGTTTTTCTTGGCCAGGGCGTAACAGATGAGGAAGCGGGCCAGTCCTACTTTTTACTACAAGACCAAGGGAATATTGTGAGCATAGCTATCACATGAATCCATGTCCTTCTTCTATTCCCTTGGCTTAATCTCACTGCACTTTACCCTGGGAGGAGAGATCACCTAAGTCGCGTAATCCTCATCTGGTAGTGTCCTACTGTGGAATGATCAATGCGGCACGGCGCGGTACGGCGCAGCATGACTAGCTAGCCTAAATGGAGCTGGGGTGTAGAACTGAAGCTAAACAAGATGTATCTGCAGCGAAGAGGCGTCAACGTACGACTCCCGGCATAGCAAGCTTAACGAGCGCCTAACCAAAGAAATCCAAGCTAGGTTAGATTGGATTGGAGTTGATTGGGCCGTTAACGATGACACCGACGACGATAGCGTCGAGGATGCGGATGAAGATACGAATAGACCCGAAGAGGAATTCGGACCCGCCAAGGCTAAGAAGGAGGTTAGGTTGTTAGACTATGCTTGTGGTACCGGCATGATGTCAAGGGTGAGCGTTTTTCCATCCTACCTGAAAATCCATCCTTTGTTGATATATTTCCTAATCGATTCTGGTAGGCCCTGGTTCCTTACACTACGCAATGTCTCGGTATCGATATATCAGAGGGTATGGTTGCGGCCTACAACTCTCGTGCTGAAAATCAGGTAAGATACAATACCAACGAATCGCCGTCTATACATGGCCTCTTTCATATTATTTAGATTAGCTCAACGAATGCTACCTGTATACTCCGACACCCTATCCCCCTGCTTCTCTTCAATCATGACATCTTATAGGCCTATTACCTATACAACTCGTCTGGATGGATGAGAGGACTAAACCTTAATAGGGCTTATCTCGCGACGAGATGCACGCCGTAGTAGGTGACCTCATAGTGGCAGATGAGCCGCAACCGGCGGAACTTTCGGACTCCCGTTTCTTCGGCTTCGATGTGGCGACCGTGGGCGGTGGGCTGCACCACTTCGCGGACCCGGAGCTGGCCGCCGAACGTCTAGTCCAACGTCTGCGCCCCGGTGGCGTGCTATTGGTTTGGGATTTCCTTCCGCACGGGCCTTGGCATGGACACGGCGGTAACTCGGTCCTGCACCACGGCTTGTCCGAAGAAAGAGTCCGGTCGATGTTCGAACGCGCTGGCGCTGGGAAAGGATTCTCTCTTGAGGTACTTGGCTCCGGTATTTCGCCCGGTCAGTGTGTCCATGGGGAGGCGGAGCCTCTAAGGAGAGAAGTATTCCTAGCTAGAGGAGAGAAAGCGGCGTGATTTCACATGTTCTATCGCTCGGAGATCATTTGAGAGATCATTTGACTCTTGTTGAGGAGCCAGCATCACTTATTCATTCACGGCAGTTAAAGTATCCAGACGCCCTTCTAAATAATATACCATCTAAATAGCCTGTATTGTATGTTAACATAATTGTGAAGTCTTGGGGTCCTATAGACTATAATTCCAATGATGTAATCGGAGGGCTAAATGATGCCGTTTACAAATCAATAGCGATATATTGTCGCCGTACCTCCTCACCTCATCACTAAGAGCTCCCTACTTAAGAGCGAATGTCGTTTCTTAAACAGCGAGAATGTCTAAGAACATTGCATTCGAACAACCTTGAGATGTAGCATCGCTCTATGGGTTGATAAATTATCAATTCCTAGTTAGTAATTAGAAACAGTACCTAGGTAGTATTAGTATGACGGTTGACAAACTCTGATACTCGCAGTCTACCTAGTTGCGTTATAACAATATCACCTTCCATAAGTCTCACATGTGACTGTCTTTATGGTTACTATTGTCTTCGCGTATAGCTCTTTCGTCTTTTAGTGTTAAAAGTCCTCTACTGTGTAGGACTTCGGAGCGGTAACTCATCATAATGTGAAGAATATCAACTTGTGTTACTAGAGGGTTTATTGGTATCAGACTAATGTTTATGAGTCCCTGCAATCTACTTGACATATAAAGAATTGGTAGGACCGCGATAACCACTAGTTAGATGTTGGCGTAGCAGTATCGACTTCGATCAAGGAGTTAGTAATCTCCTGTTAAGGTTCAATAATAATCATAGAATTGATTGTTTCGCATTAGAACCGAGTACGAATCGATTACTATAACGAGAACACTCGCGATTCTGGGGTGAGGAGAGGTTGATAGGATACATTCTTAAAACAGTAAGAGAATATGCTCTATGGAGGGACGAAGAGCCCTCTATAGCTTACCAGTAAATGGAAATCATCAGACCCTTGGGTATGGAAGTGCCTTTCAATCTTCAGCTAATTATACGTGATAGCTTTTCTAGTCTCATAAGGTAGACAGGCGTTTAGTCCAGCATTTAGGACTCAATAAGATGAAAACATGAGTACGATTAGTTCAGGATTAATTAATTCATTGAGGTATCCATCGTTATCCATTCGTTATCCATTACAAGGTCAAAAGTCCTTGCCCTTTTACTTCCACCCTGATTTCTCTAGCTATAGTTATCCACACCCCTCTCCTCCCGAACCCTCATCTCACCGGTCTCCATATGCTTCTCGCACGCGAAGCACCTCTCAGCATAAACACCACGTCGATTCTGCTCTCTCCATGCCGCGCTAGTCCGGCGGACCATAGCCGGTTTCCACCCACCGACGTTGACCGTGATACTCCTCCACGTCCCGCCCCGCTTGCCACTTATCAGAGTCGAGAAGATACTCATGGCAGCATCATAATCTAGATCTGCTTCACCAACGTCTTCAAATACTTGTAGGACGGTCTGTGTGTGTAGAACAAGAATTTCAAGTTGAGGGAAGCCACATAGCGCATAAAGAAATGAGGAGGGGTCGCAAAAGGCCGCATCCATGTCTAATTCGAGCGTATGGAGATGAACGAGATTGTGAGAGAGGAGCGAAAGATCCTCTATTCGCATTGTGGGACAGCGTTGCCTTTCGTCACTAAAACCCGTGTAATCACGGAATTTCAAATCCCGAAGTGAATCAGCGTGACGGAGCAGTCCATCTATAGGGAAGAGGTTGGTATGGCAGGTAATCTTAATCGTTTTGAGAGCCCGGATCTGTTGGATTAACCTATATAGGTCTCTTGTCCCTTCCTGACGCTGGTCTGGTAAGTGTGTACTGTGGTCTTCGCAATGTAATGTATGCAATTGGTGAAACTCCGAGAAGGGCACTGAGTTGAGAAACTGAAACATAGGTACATCTATGAGAGCCAGCCGTCTTAGCCTCGAGAAATTCCAATGTCTTCGGACAGTATCGGGCGAATGATTCCAGTCATACGACCGAAGCGAGAGTTCTTCGAAAGCTGGTAGGCGTTCATTTCCTCTGAAGGAGAACCGGGATCCCTGGCCTTTATCATTATAATGAAAAGTCTTTATTTGCCGACTTTCAAGGAGTAGTCTTTTCAATGATTCAAGTCTGCTTGTGAGTGGTGGCGTAGGACTTGTCATCTTTAGAGAAACAAGATTACTCGCGGGAATACCTCGTAGGTAAATGTCATACGAACCGTCATCAAAGTCTTGTAGTGGTAAGCCTTCGACATATAGTCTAACTCTGCCCATACCGATGTGATGTGGACTCAGGATGTCAGATGGTACCGAGAAAAACCTTGAAAAAGGGTCGTTTCCGATAAAACGCCATCTATTTAATATACTCAATATTACATGTCCAAGAAGGGAAAAAAGGAAATAGGAAATATGGGTAGTTACCGTAACGTCGAGAGCCGCTGTATTTGACCTAAAACCTTCCGAGTATTTATCGGGTCTAGGTCACTCCTTGCTTCGACATTCCTAGTAAACGAGGACAAATTCCGAAGAAGTCGGGGGAAGTACGTCTCGGTCTGGGTGGCTATTATGTATTCGTTAAGACGTACGGTTTCAAATTGGATAGGTGTAACGATGGCTTCAAAACGTCTCGAAAGCTGACGAGCACTAGCAAGAGCTCGAGAGTCGATATCCCGTAGCTATGAACAGAAATTGTCAATAACAAGGTCTCATAAGCTGTAATTGTAAGTGTAAGGGTGGATACATACCTGTTGGAATACGAGAGCTAGCAACTCAGTACTAAGATCAGCAAGTGATAATGTTTGCGTAGAATAATATGTAGTTCTTTCCGTCTCCATGAGTCCACCAACATGACGATAGAGTTTTAGAGGCTTGGTAGATAGGTATATCGGACGGGTTTGGCACAGAACCTGGGTCATGATGGGCGATGTGAATATGAAACGGGGTAGAAAGAGCACGGTGGCTTCCTCTTGTTATCAAACTCGGGTCGTCAACTCCCATTCAGCAATAGCGTAAGTTGGTCAACGTAATAAGAAGCTAACTATGGGGTTCGAGATATTAAACAATGAGATGACAGGTGACACGAAGCTAGCACTAGCAGCCAACATCTACCTCTTTGGCATATAAATGACAAGTCAAATATATTAGATGAACAAGCTAATAATAAAAGGCTGGCTGAGGCGGTTTTTAGCCTCGAGCTGGACATGTCAGTTGAGGGTGATCGCTAAACCACATTTGGGTAAAATAACGAATGCGTAATACGAAATGACGGAAGGGATGTAGATTACGCGCCACAAGCGGCAGGTTCATATTATCTATCTGCAGGATGGGCATAGTGGTTGGTCCGAGATATTGGACCCCTTTGCCCCTCTTCAAGATGGATTCCCGCTGTGTGGCATGAAGAACAGACGGGCCGGTGGATCCAGCTATGGGGACAGAGGAGAAGGAGAAGTGAAATGAAACATAGCATTTCGTCTAATACACCATGACGTTTGAACCGGTTGACGCTAGGTAGAATCCAAAGCCAAGAGGAGTTCATCTGAAGTAGATGATCATTCCTCGTATTGGTGGTATTTTCAGCGGTGTAAACCAGTAAACCAGTTGGGAATATTCCATCCCATGTCTCGACCCGAGTTTCCATTTTTACAGGGTTGATATTGGTTTACTAATTACCGGAGTAGGATGTTTTGTGTGTCAAGTCAAAGTCTAGAAGAGGGAATTAATAAAAGTAAAAAAATAAAAAATTAAGGAAAAAAAGTTATTATAGAGCAACACGTGAAGTTCGCAAGATTCGCCCAAAAAGGCGACCCCACATGACGCTAACTAGCGTTTGTGTTCCCAATACATGTTGCCCGCCACGCGCAGCCACTGGTGTCGGGGCTGATCCGAACCCCGCTTGCTTCTCGCTCACACGTGGAAGTACATGGATTTAGAGCTGCATTAAGTACCTAGGTATGTACTTTTGAACTCTACAGTACTTAATTCCGCCCGCTCTTTTGGCTACGATGTATTATATATTTCCCCATCTACAAAATTATTATTGCCATGCTTGAGTGAGTCTACACACATATGCCTATTCCTGTTAATCCTTCCCATGTTATAGTCAAAGTAACCCAAGAGAATGGCATTCATCTGTGCGCAGCATCTGTGTCAGTTGCCCTATTAGGAAATTGAAGGTGGGGCATTCATATACAAGTACCTATAACAAGTCACTCACACTTACATGTATGGATATGTTTTTTATATATCCATGTAATCCGGCATAAAAAATACGAAATAAACGAATCCGAGTAGTTGTTAGCTCGATAATGAACCGCCCCTCAAGATCGGGAGCTAGCACTTGTTGGATCGGACGAATCGAAGCGGTAAGTGGGTAGTACTAGGATACTTTGGTGTTCTTTGGAAAATGCTATACGCGGATGAAGTACCTGACCGGACCCTAGGATCCACTGTAAGGGTTTGTTCGGCTCTGGCCGCATCGTCCAATCGCAACTTTGAATTTAAAGACCCACCTGCCTTGTGGGGAGACGTATATAATATTAACTCCGTAACAAAGCAACTTGTTACTAGTAACCTAGGTATATACTAATAACCTTGGAACATTGGATATTATATCATCCCGTTAATGCCCATGGAACCTCTATAGTAATCGCGAGTAACATGGAATTGTGATTCTTTAATTTTAAATCTTACGTTTAGTAAGCAAGGGAGCCCTTTCTGTTTTGATGAGTAATATACTCCTACTATGTAACACCCGGCGCCATTCCAATCGTCGGAGCAAGTTTTGCTAATTGAAATATCGATCGACGGATTCCGTTCTTAAACTTATGCGCACTAAAGTCCATTCCTCTGATCGGTGTAAACTATATCTTATTTATAAGCCATTAGAGATGGGAGTAGGTATAACCGACGGCTTTGGCAGTTATAATAAAGCTGAGAAACTACAAAGAAATTGAGTCCACACCGTGAACTTTTAGTTTTGCGCCGATTCTACGCCGTCGAACACGTCAAACAACTAGACTTACAGACGGTCTGCCGTATTCCACACATGTGGCGTGTCAAAACCGGGCCACTATAGTCACGAAGGCAAGTTCTAACGAAGCCGAACATATTGGTGGAGAGTGGAAGGGAAAGAACAAAATAACTCTTGGCTTCCCATTATCATGGTATTCCTGGAGAATCAGATGCAAGGTTCTTCGTACTGCTGTAAGCTGGAAACTAAAAACAAAGGATTCAAATGAGACTCATCTCATACAGGAAGACCCAGATCGTGGCATGCGTTCATGCGCTAAGATAAACTTACAATATCCCCTGAGGGTATCGGAATAGCTGTTTAAAGCTGAAGCAGACTGTCGAAGAATATCAATTCCTTGGCTGTATTCACTCCGACCTCGGCGCTGCAACAAATAGTCTCGGCCGTAATAGTCAAAGCTATACTCCAGAATACATAACAACGAAATCCCCGATACTTCAACCTCGAGTCCGTTACGCATATAAACGCTAAGTCCCTTCACGAATTTATCATTCAATAATAACTTGATTTCGAAGTTGCGAATGTTTTACTATGGGTAGTGGGAACCTTTCATTATCACGAGGGTGAGTAGACATCAAAAATGGCCAACAACTTTTTGAAATATGCGAGAACAATAAACAATAATTCTGACATTTGGGGGAATCTCGTTTAGAAGAAAAAAAGAATGTTAACATCAACAATTCGACGTAAGCCCAGGCGACTCATACGTGAACTTCATGACTGCTTCAGCCGTGCCACCGCCATTTTAACAAATTAAACCCGCCGAGCATACCCCTAACTTCCGAACTTTGAGCCTTAAGGATGCAGATGTACAGACCATTCCTGTAGGCCCAATTAGTATCGGTAAATTGGCTCTTTCTGTTTCTGGGGCGTGGCGTCATAATCGCTATCATCGTCATCATCCCGCGAGTGTCGGGCGTCAGATGCGGCGCCTCCAGCTCCATGCATGGCCTCTTTCCCGAGAGCGCTTTCCTGCCTGTCCATATAGCTTGGCGTGCTCTCAAAGCCTGGGTGAAAAGGTTCGAAAGCTAACCGAGGCTCGTCAAGATACGCCCCACCGCCAGTGCTCGAACCGCCGGCTGCATGAGACCTCGATCCTGAGGGCTCCGGCTCGGGGTCCCTAAAGGGATCGTCCTCGGTTTCACCAATAGGTGTATGTGTCCTTGACGGCCCCGCCACAGCAGGCTCGTATTCCCTTTCTTTACCTTTGCCGTTCGGTTTTCGAGCCGGGACGGGCGGGGGTTCCAGTCCATTGCTGTTTCTATCAGACTCTACCGGACTCACAGGGTCTAGAGACTGGGACGGCCGGGGCTGAGATTGGGATTGGGACTGAGGGTCCATAACAGCTACGAGCTTTCTCGCGTTCAGCATGGCTCTTTGATGTAAGCTCAGCGATGCCTGAAGTTGTTCGTTGGCATCAATCAAGCTCTCCATGGTGTCATTATCGGGTGCCGGGTCTTCAGCGGTCATATACATCTGTATACTCCGGCTTGCGCTTGTACATCGATCGGCGAACTCCTTGATCAGATCATTGCTGAGTACCTCGACAGGTGGGGTATTCGTAACTACTTGTTGCAGTAATTTCGCAGACGTCCGCGCTTCCTCTAACCTACTAGCTAGTTCGACAGGATTTGGGAGTTTGCGATTCGAATGGCTTCGCGCGAAATAATTTTGGGAATGCGCATCGAATGGGGGCGCGTTCATCGTACGTGGCATTGGGGGCTGAGGGGTACGTCCCTAGTTGTCAGATATTAGCACAGACGATTCCAGCGAACAAGAAAAGAACCAGAAGAATAGTTCCAACATACTCCGAATTGCTTCTGCGCCCTCTCCTTCTCTTTCTTCCACATATCGATTATTATACTCAGGCCTTCGTCGTATGCTTTGGTGTTTTCAAAAGAATCTAATGTTTCCATCATCATCTGGCGCACACTTGGATCGCGAACGTGTCTCAACAACTCTTTTGCGGTGTCCGCAAACTTTTGGTCGACATTTCTCGTGAATGTCTGACCTGGGTTATCGGCGAGGATGCGAATGAGCATGATGGCATTGTATTGGTATGAAGGTTTCGTCCAATAGTCCCTCTTTAGATATTTTCGGATAAGGCGCGCGCATTCCGCAGCGGCTGCGGGGGATGATTCGGCGGCATCGACGATAGGGGGCAGGAATAGCACTTCGTCTCCAGCATGGTTAGAACCGGATTCGATGAAGGATTTCTAAGCGACGGTTAGGTTGACATAAGGATTGGAGTTGATGGGCGCAAACGTACTACACAACGTGTCGCCGTGGCCTCGGGGCCTTCGCCTTCAGTAGCGGTAGGCGTGCCAACACCTTTAGGTAGTATTAGTAAGAAGTAATAATATGATAAACTTGCGGGCTTGCGCATGCTAGAATCCTTTTTTTTTTTTTTTTTTTGGCAAAATTTCTATTAGGCAGCTTATGTTCAGACGTACCATTACTAGAGTTCTTCTTCCTTATGGTGCCAAGCACCTTGCTCATCTTGAGCGACTTCATCGGAGCTTGTACTTGTGAGTTATCTCTTCAAATGCGCTTATATGTTGTGTTTGAAACGCAAGTCGAAACGAGTTCGGGGATAATGGTCGTAGAGCAAGTGTAGTAGGTGTATTATTGATAGATATTTCTGCGACTTGTAGCCTAAACTCTTCGAAAGTCTTCGTCGCACTTGATTGGGGGCTAAGCCTTAAAACCAGGCAGAGAATTGGGCGTTCACTAATTTTTGTTAGCTTTGGGGAAACTGTCTTATTATTATCTTTTTTTTTTTTTTTCTTTCTTTTCTTTTTTTGGTTGGATGCAATTATAGTGCGAATTTCAGTGCAGATGCAGCTTGAGTTACGGCGCCGGGTAGTTGAACTAGATGGTTTGGGGGCTGCAGGGTGACGACGGAGGGAGGATACCTACCTGGTATATGACTGGGCAAATGAACGGGATGGATGGGACCATACCTGATACGTCGCGTTTCAGCCTCGGCGTAATTAGGAGGCCGCAATTGGAAGAGAAGGGGGGAGGGAATCTTTAGGGGAAGTGAGAAGGAAGAGAGAATTAAAGGCATTCGTTATTGTTGGTTGTTGAAAAAAAAAAAAAAAAGGAAGAGAATAAAAAAAATTAAGAGATATCGGGATTAGGAGTCTACCTAACTACCTAGGTACCTAAACCAATCCCCCAAGAATCCCCATATAATATGCTATGCAGTAGGAATAGCCCTGGAGATTTTATCTCAATCTACGCCTGCCTAGAACACTCGCGCTTCCATTACCTTGTCAAGTATCTACATAATGTACCATCCTCAGCTATTTTGGGCACATGGGGTACTTAAAAGGACCCCGAACGAATCGCCACACTGCCACAATTTTCTAAGCCAATCTTGGAAAGTTAGATATAATTGGCATGGGAAATCATCGGGCCTTCTTGTTTCTCAACCCGTCTCAACCTTCATACATATTACATAGGGAAAATACGGGGGTGTGTATTGCTACATGGGGGCATCCTCTCTATATTGAATCTACAATTCTATCCAATTACCTCTTTTCCTAAAGTGCACCAAGCGAAGTTAAGGCAGGATTCGTCGTGCAGCATCATTAGATGTGCACAGCCTCAAACCTCCACGCAAACAGTCCCTTTGTACAGGTAACATTATGCGGGTGGATGGTACAGTGATTGGATAGTTCTAGACCACTTTATTGTTGCTAGTCCACAACAATACACCTTCAATGCTCATTACACGCAAAATATGAATCAGCTGCTTTGCTCTCGCCGCCTAATGTAGTCATCCCCAGCGTCATTGTTCTGGCTTGGTATTCAAGAACGCGCGGCATACCAGCCAATATCTTCCTGATTTTCCTCACATTATACCATCCTTTTAGTTGTAGCAATGGTAAGCGCCCCCAGCAAGCAGATACCACCAGAGATAATATACACATGTTACATAATCGTATCTGCTGACAAAGCATCATAACATATCAATACCCCCTTTTCCTTCCTTTAACATAATTGTGTTATTAGATTCCACCTTTCCATAGAAACACCTTATAAGATAAAGGATTCTTGAAGCAAGCTTAGGTGATTCCTATTTTCTCACAATGTTCAATAGAACCTTCGGTCAAGACTCTAAGAGGCGGCTTTATTTATATCCGATGAAATTTATACACATTACGTAATACTAGTATTATTAGCTAAGCTCTCTCCTAAACACCATCATTCTCTTATACACCAAAGTATTCCTATACTTATTTTAATAATGTTAATATTAATTCAGACATTTCTATTTAGGTTCAAGGCATCTCTTTCGAAAGACTAGCGTTGCGTAAGATTCATTGATTCAATAATTGCAAGTAACTCACCGTAACCTTTAAGGCCTAAATCACGTGGAACATTAGTTTAATATAAAGTCACCAAGTAAGGCAATGAAAAGACCTGCCACAAATGAGAATATAGCAGTTGTTGAAAGCAGCTCGAGATTGCGAAACACTGGTTACAGAAATAGCAGAACGGCAGACCGTTCAACACCCCTTGGTGGCACACGTTCATCCGGGTGGAAGGCCATCAACACCCAGCCGTCTATGAGAAAGAAAAACAGAATAAGTGCAGCCTGCCCGCGCAAATGCGATCGCGCCTTACGCCAATAAGAATGCTGGGGCGAACTTCTTCGGGTATTATACACAATGGCCAGGGTTTTTCCTTTCCGTCATGGCCCCTCGAAGACCTCAATGACTCCCCCTCCACCCGTCCAGCCCGGTCAAAATAGTAACCGCTCGTGATTCGGGAACTCATGTCGTCACCAAATCAGCTATAAGTTTAGTCGTGATTAAGTCGGTCTAATCATAGATGGACTAAACGACTCTAGCACAACAATGGCGGTTTCATTTGAAACCCCATGGGTCAGAATATTACCTAGATAATGATATTTAGCTTTCGATAACCACCGATGGGTTATGACATTGCTTGAAAAGCAAACAAGCTAAATTCGACCCACGGATTCCCTCGCATTGACGACAATTCCGGAAGATGCCAGGCCGGATTGACCTTCATCTACGCTATCGTCGTCTCGAGGCGTCATCGTCTCCTCGCTAAGAGGCGAAGACGGTCCAGCCTCCACCATGCGCGCACTCTCAGCACCCGCGGCAACAATCGTCGGGCTTGAATTTCGCGAAGACGGTCGCCGAGTACTCGTTCTGAAAGCTGCCGGGAGCTTCGTCTGAATCTTCGCCTTGCTGTAGGTCTTAACTACCGTCTTGGACTTGCGAACAGCCGCTGTCTTGTGACCTGCAGATGACTTCGATCCTAGCATCGCCTTAGTGCTAACTGAGATTGTCGAAACGGTACGCTTAATAGCCGTGGCGGCACCCTTAGTAGCAGCCTGAAGGCTAGCAGCAGAGATGGTGCGCCTAGTGTCTTGTGCCTTAACTCCCGTTGGCGTCTTCACCTTGCGCTTCTTAGCAGCACTTCCTCCGTCGTCATCGTGATCTCTTGAGGTGTCCTTCAACTTCCTCTTACCTGCATTGGCACCCTTCTTGGTAGCATCCGGGCTTTCCCTCGGAGGCTTCGGCTGCTTCACTTCCTTCGGTTTAGGACCAAGCACGCCTCGGCAATTCGCACTACCACAAAGACACTTCTGAACGTTCTTAGCCGAAAAAGGGTCAAAATTGTAGTCGTACGTAAGCTCTTCGCCTGTCATAATGGGGCGATCACCAGCAAAAAGAGCCATGCGGGGCTGTCCTGAGACGATCCATTTAATCATGCGGCAGTTCGGCGAACATGAGTGATTGACGAAACGAGCGATACTACCAGTCGTTGCGTCTATGATCATATTCTGATCAAAGGACATCAAGTAATAACACTAAGTTTTATTAGTAGATGCATTCAAGACTCTTGTATATAAACTTCATCGGCTTACCTGGTTGTCCTTATACTTGTCGGTCATCCGGCGGTCGCACTCTTCCTCGGTAATAATTTCACCCGTGTACTCCATAATGATTTGGTTGGGCTCGAAACAGCGGTTGGCTCGAATGCCGTAACCCTTCTCCGCCGTCTTGATTACCTCAACTCCGACACGGTACTTTCCGCCCTCTTTAATGCGCTCCTGCAATCGCGCAAAAGCACGGTTCTGGCACAAATCCGAACCAACATTACAATTGGTCTCATCACACTCGTAGAGCATGATTCGGTTCTGGCAAGATTCACCGCAACCGTCTTCCGGAGTACACACACACTTAGACTGATAGTCTTTGAAATGGGGAGTCTTCTTCCAATAAGCTCCCGCGTCACCAACGAACCGATCTAAGCAATCGTTAGCCAATACTCATAAAGGCAGGAATTCAACAAGTTCAACAGAATCACAAATGATATTTTGTCGAACCAAATGAATAAACTTACTCTTGGTGATCTTGCGCCACTCATCTGGCTTCGGCTGCCCAGGCGGCAAAGGGTTGCAAATGTCAAAAGGTAACTTAAAATCTCGACCCTGGATCAGCATGCGCAATCCATTATATATGGGCATAGGCATAGTCTTGTTGATCTTATCAGTCGGCATCAGCTCAGGATGCTCGGTCAGGTTTTTCTTCTCGGTTGGAGTGAGGCCCTTAGAAACATCCACCGGAGGTGCCTGACCAGCGTATAAACCACGGTCAAGGTATTTCTTAACCCGTCGCTTCTTAAGGACGGGTCCTTCCTCGACCACAGGCTCAGGCTCTGCCGCGGGAGCTGCTGGCGCTTCGGGTGTGACCTTGACTTTCTTTCGCGGAGGCTGTAACTCCTCTTCTGTGACGTACTTTCCGTTGGCCCAAGTCGTATAGACAACGGGCTTCTTGTCAATGCCTGCGAATTCGTCCGTGTCTTGTAATCGTCGTAGCTCACGCGACATCTTGCTTACACCCTTCTCGACAGCCATTCTTCCTCGTTTACCCAGGGTGGATAATCTACTCGCCAATGTTTCCTGTTCTTGGACTGAGGAACGTGTAGAAATTCGTCGAGACGGTGTGGACTCTTTCGGGTTCGGGCCTTTGCTAGAATTCGTCGATTCGACAGGAGCAATGGGAGCCACGGGAGCGGGAGTCGTGTCCTCTTCCTTTGCAATTGGCGTCTCGCGAGCAGTGGTGCCGCGTCGCTTTCGGTCAGAGACATCGTCACCCTTGGCTCGTCGTTTGCCATGGATGGCGGTGCCGGCTAACTTGGCGAGGTTGTAAACAGGCGCGCTGAGGCGCTCGCGACGCGAACGGGTGACGAGGGGTGTGTTAGGTGTAGTTTGCGCGGCAGGTCGAGAAAGCTGAGGGAGTTGAGGGAGGTTAAGAGGTTCAGCTGACGCGACAATAGAGTCAGCTACCTCGGAGGTTGTATCGACGTCCATCGCGTCAAGAGGGTCGTTGTGATGGCCAATGGCAGTAGGAGTATTGACTTTAGAAGTGTCTGAAGCCAAACTCATAGAGTCGGCTATGGTGGTGGGTGGTGTCGAGCTGAGCGACGCGGCGTTCGAGAAGGTGTCGGCAGCCGCGCCAACACTAGACTCTGACGACAAGGCGCGCGTCGGAGACATGGTTGCGGGTGAATCCATGACTGGACAACGCGACAATGGGTCTTGTAAAGAGTCTAGAGTAATGTAAGTGTAAGATACAACGCGTTGAATAAGTGGTTGTTTTGTATGAAGGAGTGAAAAAGTGGTAGAGGTATAGAAGTAGAGCGTGTTATGTTAATTGTGTACATGTAGAAGAGAGTTATGTGTAGAGTTATGTAATACGCGGGTTGTTCTAGTGTTCTAGCGTCTACCGTCTAGCGTAGAATCATGCATGTACGAATGGAGCGTGGTGGTCTAGGTAGCAGTGGTGGTGGAGGGTACCTAGGTAGGAAGGGTGGAGGGAAGAAAAGGTGAGAATGGATTGGACGGAACGGATTGGTTGGACGGGTAGATAGATGATGGGTGGATTAGAATGGGAGGAAAGTGGATTCTGTTTAATAGGGTTTAATAGGTCTAATAGGTCTAATAGGTGTCTTGTCTTCAAGGTTCAATAACGCAAAGTAACGTATGTGCTAAGGCGTATGAAAGTACACAAGTACCTAGGTATCGACCCTTTACCAGATACATACACGTATATACGTGCAATACGCACATACAATTACATATAAACGTACATATACACGTGTATATTATGTATATGTAGGTAGGTATATGTAAGTAGGTACATATATGTATGTGGATGGACGGGAGAGAAAAGTAGACGTGTAGAGCATCGTACTGTAGTGTGAGATGTGGGCGCGCGCAAAGGCGTAGACGTACGTACATTCAAAAGGTACGGTGGCACACGGATAAAATAGCTTGTGAAGGTGCGTGCGATGTAGGTACTATATACTTATATGCACCGACATCAGACAGGGTAAGGTTGAATCAATGTACGATGTACGATGTTAGGGTCGGGATGGGGATGGAGATGGGGATAGAAAAGGGAAAGTAAATTATTCCATCGGCCAATAGCCGCGACCTTGTCTGTCTACCCTCATGTGCTTGTAGCTTGCATTTTTGTGAGGTGCTGTATGTGTACTTACTAGTCTATCTGGTCGCGTTTGTAGAACCAAATATTTGCAGATAAACAGATGTAGCAAGATGCTGTAGAATCGTGTAGAGAATTTCGGAGAGTAGGAGTTGAGAAAGTGGAATCGTGGCGGTGGGAAAGTTTGGAGACGATGAAAGAGAAGAAAAAAAGGGAGAGGGGTGGAAAAAGATGTAAGAGATTGTGTGAGTGTGTGGTGTTTTGATGCGCACTATGTAGGTAGCGCGTATCTACCCTAGCTAGGTATCGAAGAACGGATGGATGGATGGATGGATGAATATTATGAAAGATGAAAAAAGAAGGCAGAGACGGGAAGCAAGGTGGACAGGGACAGGGACAGGGACAGGGACAGCTGTAGAAATACGGAAAATTCGGTCGGGCGGTTGCTGAAGTGGTTTTGATTGTTATTATGGTGGTACTTACGTATGTGTGATTTGTATATCTTGATGTTGATGCTGATTCCTAGAGTATCGATAGGTACCGATGATGATTGACAGGCAAGTGGTCTACTGAGTAGAAACGATATGCGAGGCTTCGGCGAAGTTGAAGATTAGAAGATGCGGTAGTAAGAAGTAAGAAGTGCAGGAGGGGAAAAAAAAATAATTAATTGTGGACTTGGTCGTGTTGTTGTTTTGATGTTTTGATGTTGTCGTGTAAAGGAAAGGGGAAGAAATAAAATAAAAAAAAGATAGAAGGAGGTGGTGGGTGGAGGTAGAGGGGGAAAATGTGTACCTAGTCAGAAAAGAATCTTTGAGTTTGGTGCAAAATAATAATTTGGACCAGAATGGAAAAATTGGGTAGGTAGTGGAAGTAAAGAGCGTGCCACTGACCTAATTACACGTTCAAACGAAATGCTATTTAACGAGGAAGGGGGAAAATAAAAAGAACAGGGCTGGGGGGGTAAGTAAGTAAGTAATAAGGTAACTAACCGTATTTATTAAGAAAATAGAAGAAGAGTGCGAATGTGTATGAGAGAGAAGATGAATGAGAGGAGAGTAGGTAGAGAAGAAAAAAAGATACGGTAGCCTATGTATTATTTGGATTATTTATTGTTATTTGCCCGGCGCAGATAGCACACACCCCCATCTCAATCCTAACAACATTCGTATGCGGCAAGTCGAGTAAGCTTTATTCAGATTACATCGCCCGACAACTCCGTCGCCCTCATCCCTTTCTCTCTCTCCTCCCCTCTCTGACTTCATTATGCCATCTACACATGCGTTGACGCCGTCTTCTGAACTAGCTAGCTAACCACTTGCTAGTCCGGGGTTACCAAACCTACCATTATCACCATTGACCCTATCTCCCCGTCTACGTACCAACCTACCTCTAAATCCCCATCCAATACTTCTACGCTACCTAGATCCAAGTATCTAGGTATCTATCTACGAGGACCAGAAATTCAATCCATAAAAAAACCCCTCCTCCTTCGACAAGGGGGAGGCTATTTGGTAGCACCGCCCATCTCGAAGCACGCCCAAAAGCAACAAGATCACTACCTAGGTAGGCATCTGCACGCTCCACACGGGGACGGGCAATCCTCCGATTCTCATATATATATGGATCAAAGGGGGGAAAGTATTATATACACATATAGATCAGTCAGTCCAACTGCCTTAAGGCGGACGGAGGCGTACTATCGCGAGCATGGCTATTTAGGTACGTCTTGTTCAGTATGGCGAGAAGAATTAATCGCAATGTTTGGCGAACGAGAAGATCGCGTCGAGACGCTATAGTACAAGGCCGCATCTCGGTTTTTATTTTAAATTCCACCAGCCGTCATCCTAGGAGCGGGGAGCCGAGGATACGAGTGAAGCATTTCGGTAAGATGTGAACATGTCACTCGATGGCAATATTCAGCCTCGCTGAGATAGTTATTCCATCAATAGCCCGAAATATCCATCGTAGACAGTATTTTCGGGATTCGCATCGAAATCGTCGGAATAGGGCGATTGTGGTGAGTATTGGCCGAGTGTCATCCTAGGGAGACCCCTTGCGCTGATTTAGTTAGTCGAGGGTGTAGATCCCGGACATGTCTAGTATCATGCCGCTCCTCCGACGTGACCTCAACAAAGCCACTCTCAGGGGCGATAATAACTTAGCACCTCTGCCAGCACTCTTCGTTTGGTCTTATCACGAAGAATGGCAGCCCTGTTGCTCTATCGTCTCATAAATTCAACATATATTTGTGTGGCCTCGTCTTATCTACCTCCTTATGTATACCTCTACCTCCTTGAACACTAGCCGACTATGCCTACGATCGCCCAATGTGCATGCTGCCAATCTAGGCCTTGCCCCAGGCTCGAACTGCTAGAATGGACTCCCTGATTGATTATTTCTTTTGAAAGTCATTGTTCGGCTTTCTCCATGCACGCAATCCAGGCCATGTGAAGCCACTATCCCCAAAGTACATCTACCGAATCCTGTATCATAGGTCGAGAAAGGAATATTTATATCGCACATCGTTGTGAATAGAATTGGTATTAGGTCAGTACGCTATCCTACTACCGCATTTTCTTTATTATGGACAATTATTGAGAGGTTGCATCTTGGTATCTTGGGGCCCTAGGAATTCTTGGGATGGGAGATTGGGAACGTTCCCTGGATTGGGCCATTTTGCTATTCGTACCTATATCCGGCCTTCCAGGCTCGTATTTTAATCTTAGGGGTTGGTTCGAGCGAATCGAGGAATCTCACGAGTAAGAAGTCTGTTTGCCAATGCGTCAGCTCTGCATCAAACAGACAATCCAATAGATAGCGGGGTAGGGGGAGTAGATTAATTGACTTCACCGATACTTCAGATAAGTCTTCTTCAATCCAGTTGTATTTCGTGATTTGGGCACAGCACAGTGGATTTATACCGAAAGGAGAGCATGGATGGTGTATGATTTTCCAGTTGCTCTTCTCGAGCCGGCGAGTTGGTTGTAGAGGCAACTGATGATACGCCGTTGATCGTCGTGCTACTAGTATAGGTAGGAGGGAAATATTCCGAAATCATGACAGCTGAGAATTCCCCGGTGACATGAAGAATATATTGCGCTTGGTTTAATGTAATCATAAATCTACGCGACGACGACAGTAGGGCCAGAACTACATCAGCCAGCCCAGATGCCATCCATTGCTAAGGGGTATGGTCGAAATACCAGGAAATACGGCCGCTAAAATATTAAGAAAAAGTCATTTCAATGGCGCCTTTCCAATTACCAATAAGTCATTTAAGAGTCCGATATATTGGATTGTTTTGCTTGCTATGCTCACTCTAGGCCGATGCTGAACTCCTAGATTGCGAGTGGTAACACCGCGCAGTAAAACGCCCCCAGAGTCAATGGTGACCCACGTAAAATATGGCCCAGGGGATCGATCGGGTTTAATCATTGACTATTTTCCGTCGGAATTCCTTTCCATACCTAGGTACACCAAATGTATTTGATCCTATTTAGATGGACCTGATTACCATCAGAGATCAAGCATGATCTTTGACCGCTCCATCATGTATTGTGGCCATTGACGCCTATCTGCCACGCCGTGACTTGGTATTTTCCAATCATTATAATTCACAGCGATGAACAAAGATATGAGGCCTCATTAATACTGCTATTATAAGCACTCGCACTAATGAGAAGGTCCTTCTGCAGTCAAAGGTGTCAGTCGATAAAAGTTATTCCGTTATGAAGCCCTACCACCAGCCTGAATCATCGTGAAGCATTAGGAGTTCAATAACAGCATCATATCACTATTGTTATGTTTCTAGACGCCTAGATCGCTTATGAGCACCTGAAGTCCCTGTAATTAATCAGGCGTTTTTCCTACCTAGGTAGTCAAATATTAAGGGCTCGAGGTCCGCCTTGAGCACAAGACAAGGCGTTTCCAAAGGCCATCATAGTCCGTATGGAAGCGGTAGGCGTGTTTGGCTAGGAACTTGCCTATACGTACGGATAACGTAGAGGGTGTGGAATTTCATGATCCGAAGCATAATTGTACAGATAGCGCTGGTTTCTTGACTGCTCGACAGCACACTTAGTTCTACCTACTTCTAGACCAACCCAAGCCGAGCATTTCGTTTTCGGTGGATGTGGTTGGATGATAAGAGATTTGATAACAATAATTCTCAACCTGACACTTCCATATGATGAAAAGTCACGATATACCACTAAAGCGGGTAGCCGGTGTACTCCACCTAGGACAATGGCACAATGCCTGGTATCATGTATCGGGGCGGTCCCTCCAATTCATACATGAACACCACTAAATCTATATGGCCTCAGGAAGAAAAGCCATCGCTCTAAACCCTGTTTAGGACCATCCATTTGGAGCTCTGAGAATCCCGACGAGCCATGACGAAGTACTCGCCGGTATCGCTTCTAGACTAGACATCTACGATGCTAGGAACCTCATTGCGCATCGTGAAACAATTCGATTGGTGTGGGCATAAAAAACGGGATCAATGGGTTGAGAGAACTTGTAAATGAGAAGCCAGACCAGTTTTGGACTCGTGGCTGGGCTGCGTAGTTGGTGGTTATTCCTCTAAGGAGAGTACGCGCGAAGCTGTTTAAGGTCTAAGAATGGTGGTGACTAACTGGACACTTGTTAGCCAAAGAAACACAAAGAAAGATGCTGTTGAAAATATAGAGATTATATTAGGGGCTTGCTGTAGTGGCATATTTCGGAGTGTTATGGTGGGGAAATATGACCTCAACGACAGCAGCGAGAATATGAATTAAGGTGATCCATATGCTCTCCGTCCTTCTACTCAATTCATGGGAGGTGTATATCCTTCTTCCTTGAACTAAGGAGCTTAAGAGGCCAATTGACTGAATGTTTGGATTAAGATGGGGTGTATTTTTGAACAGAGATGTGCTACAGGGCCATGATCTTGTAGGCGGGCAATGCTGCGCCAGCGCCGGGCATGGGTGAACAGGGGGCATTCTTGGCTTTCGCAGTGCCTCAGGTAGGTAATAACCGAATAGGTCATGTCTCCATTGATAGGAAGAAAAGAAATAGGGGTCAACGAATCCAATTATTTAAAGTCAGAGATGTTAATGGTATATGTTAGATAAACATGTATATAACCTAACAAGCGCAAGAGTCGTTGATGGAAGAAAGAAATAATACTTGGCGCAAGTAGACTTGAGGATGTACTGTACAGTATAGTATGATAACAGTGCGATATAACGAAGGTGGCATAGACACACCCAGGGCTATCAGTGCTGTCAGTGCTGCGATGGCCCGGTTATCAGTGGATATACTCCCTACGGCAAATTCCCGAGTAGTAGGGATAAGCAGGAAAAATCACCATCAAACCACAATTAGGTGCGTATTTACGATATATTTATCTTCTTGGGTATTTAGGTGATAGTAATATAGCGTACCTAGGTACCTATAGTGAGTTATGAGGCCAGTGGGACGGAAGAACGAATCCACTGAGCCAGATCCTGTTACAAGACCACGTCAGTACTGGTTGGTACCTGGTACCGCCCCTGATACTGGAAGTTGACTAGCCAGCCAACCGAACAAATATTGACTAAGACGTACATATGTATTTCTTTTTTTTTTTTTTTTTTTTTTCACGCGGGTGTTGCTTTTTTCCTTGCCTGCCTACCTACCTAGGTACTTACCGTCCCTCATACATCCCCATCACACTACTGAGACATGTTCTTGTACGGCATCTGGGGAATAAGAAAGAATAGGACGTTTGGTCGATGGCACGCACCTAGGTGGGTAGTTACTTGCCCGCCTCAGCGAAAGTGTGTACACCCCCTGGGTGGTGGCGCTGAACACGTTCTATCACTCGCACGCGATAGTGTTCACCAAGCGGGCAACAAAGAAGCACTGCCCATCACCCACGTTTGGCTCCTTAACTCCCTAACTCTCTAAGTACTTAGGTGGTTTGTAGGCTACTCAAGTAGATCGATTACCCTTGCAAGCTTGGTTCTGTAGGTAAATGAGGCATTGTTGAGCAAGCCTCAAATGGCTCGTGCAATACCAGATCGGCCAATTACATTTCTCCTCCTTGATGCTATCTAGACCCATTACGGGGTCCCTACTTAGAGCATTAGCGAATATAGACGACGAGATCTGTAGGGCTAGAATATTCTCCATTTCCATTAATTAACACACCTAAGCGACACTTAATACACGTCAAATCAGACATATGGTTACGTTCATTGGTTCTTTACTATAGGTTACTTAAAATATCAATTAGGCATGCAAACCAGCATCAGATGCAGAGACCTATGAAAATAAACGGACTTAAACATCTACTTATGAAGGCACATACGATACGACCAAGTCAAATGGTGACCTCCAACCCTCCTTTCCATGCGCCGGCCTCAGAACTATGATGCCCCCTCCTTCGGTGGTATTCCACCTTGGGCTCAAATAAAACATAAATCGAAAACTCCGGGGAGAACTCTCCCATCCATGCAGTGTATGGGAATCTGATGCAGGTCTATCGTCATAATGTTACAGCATTTGCATATCAAAGTCGTGAAGGTCGTAAGCGACATCGAAAGACAGGATGTTATCAACTTAAGCGATGATATCCCCGTTGATTACCTCAACATTCTCAACATTATCGTCGTTCTCACCATCGTTGCCTCTCGCCTCGGCGTCCATGGGTGCATCTGGGTCCGAAAACTCGGATGCGCTACCGCCGTTCTTAGCCTGGTTTTCCATAGCATACAAGCGGGCGGCTCTGCCTTCTTTCTTGCGAGGTTGTGGGGCTACAGCAATAAAAGTTAGTTGACAGCGCTTTGGATGGAGGTTTGGTGAGGGATGCCTTACCTCTGCCGTTCTCCTGCACGTAGAACCGTCGGAGTAGTGATACCGCCTCGTCACGAAGATAACCTCCCTCGACTGGAAACCCAGACTCTACATTGCCTCCATCGCCGTCATCCTCATCACGCTGAATGGGAGCAGCTTTTCCTTTGATGATACGTTGCACATCTTGAGGGCCATAACCGTTCTGGTAGGGCCGATCCGTCGGCTTTGGGACAGGTTTGGAGTTCATGTGTATCTTGAAAACACCTCCAGTTCCACCGAATTTGTCATTTACGGCGCCGAAATACACCTTTTTGACTCCTAGCTGTCGAAGAAGTGAAGCACACATAACACAAGGCTCAACAGTGACGTAGAGAATGCAGTCGGATATGATGTTGCGGTCAACTACTGGAGCTGGATGAAGCTTTTGGCCATAAGGAAAAATGTGGCCGTCGCTTGGGTCGACGTCGCCCCAGCTTGCATCGTCCAAGGCGGGGTCGCTGCTAACTTCCTGGGCGTCACTTGGTCTTTTTTGAGAAAGCAAAGCAGACAGAGCCATGAACTCAGCGTGTCGGGTACCATTCCGAGTGACATTTGTCGCGTTCATTCCTTTAGCAATAATCCTTCCGTGGTGTACTAGCACACACCCCACAGGCGTTTCGTTGGTATTTAGAGCTAAATTACCCTGTTTTCTTGTTAGTAGGTTTGTGGAATTGGTGATGGCTAATGAGCAAGAAGATAGATAGAAAAGCACGATTGGGGGAGGTGTTAACTGGTGTAAGTCTGCTGGACAGTGGTGACTCAGCTCGATAGGAATGGTTGGATTTAAACGTTAATTGGGGGGTGGGGATAGAGAATGCGAGAAAGATGATGCAAGGTAATTGGCAAAACACTTACCATAGCAAGAGCCTCTCGCATGAATTTGAGATGATTAGCTCGTTCAACTCGCTCCTCTTCCGTCTTGGGCTCGATCAATCCAGGAAGATTAGGAGCTGGTGGGGGAGTAGGCTTAGGGATGGCGGCTTTATCAGTAAGAGGTAAGGCAACAACAATAGGCGTAGGAGCAACCGTGGGCGCCTTGAGGGCGACGGGAGTGGCGGCAATCTTCAACTCGGAGGGCTTCTCGGGACCCGAAACACCATCAAGAGTGAGACGATCAACACCAGCACTGACTTCTTCCGCCTGTCGATCGAGAGGGATATTTTCTATCATTTGAGGTTTGTCAAAAGGAGTGATTGCTGGGGTGGCGTGTTGGCCGCAGGTACCCGCCTTCTGAGGTTGAACTTGATTCTCCGCCGCGAGGGGCTTCAGCGCCGGCGACTGCGAGAGAGAAACCTTGGGAGGGTCCTGGGGATATTTACGATCCTTGGGAGGAGCAACATTCTCCTTTCTGACGTCGACAAAAGCTTTCGAGAGCGAAGAACCGCGGTCCCAAGCATTTTTCTCATTTCCCTTGGGGACCTGACTGTCGGGCAGTTGAGAGTTGACCCTGGTGTTACCTTGATTCGCAAGAGGAGTAACGACAGCCGGGGGCGGCACGGGATACTGGTTAGTTGTAGACTTGCTTGTGGTGTCGTCAGGCGGACCGGTGTATGGCGCATTGGAGTTGACGGCCTTGGGACCGTTGCTTTTTGTACCACCTCGCTTTTGGTTTCGCTTTTTAGCGGCCGTCATGGTGTCGTCTTGAGGCGAAGTATCCACGCCCTGTTCGAGATCTATGAAGGGAGAATGGATTTGATGATGATGTTGTTGTGGTGGTGGTGGTGCTGATGATGGTTGAGTTGTTGATTGTGCTTGTGAAGTTTGGAGATGTGGAGATGGATGCGGATGCGGATGGGGATTAGGAGGTGAGACAGATAGCGAGGAGGAATCCCAATCATGTGTGGTTGCAGAAGTTGAGGACGGTTGCCGCGGTTTCTGAGGTGGATTTTTTGTCGAGGTGAAGGGAAAGATGCGGGAGAAGAGTTGAATGAAAGACGCAAACAGTGCCTGCCAGAGGCTCGCCGCGTAACCTGAGGTTTTGTGTTCCGCCATTGTTGCCTTGCTACTGTTCTTTCCTCGCGGTACCTTCTATCTTAATCTTTTATCTCCCACTGCACTGTTTTCTCCCCTACAGTTTCCCTAATTTTTCATCCGACAATTCAAGGTAATTGCTACCACCCTTTTTCTTTTTATATATACCAGATAGGAAGGGAAAAAAAAAAGTTATCACCCCCGACTGTTAATTGAAATCACTTGTCGATTTCTAGACGAAGCAGTGCCGACCGGCGAATTCTGATAAAGCAAGACCTGCATGAAGCTCCTTGTCGGTACAAATAAATCCAATCCGGATGCGAGCGCTCTCATATTAGTATCTATCGCGGTTCAAAGACGACCCACGAAATAGAAGATGAATAGTTATTATGACTCCCTTTTCGAAGCGTCAAGTTATTAAAAATAATTGAAAAGTATCACATCTATAAGATGATCGTAAGTTGCGATTTGAACGACTCGTCATTGTAGCCATGAAAGAAATAAAAATTCGGGATGGAAAACGGGAAAGCGCTTTATTATATATTGATAAGAAGGTAAAAGAACGGCAGCGCGGCTGAGAATTTTCTCGCCGCCCCCTCGGACTAGTCAATTACCTAATTGATGCTAGTGCTACCTAAGCTTCCAAGGTTGTTGTTATCAGGGCACTTCCCCAACTTCCATAAGGTTAGAATTTTGTCATCGTCCTCACCCGATTGGTACCTAAAGTTTCAATAGCGATAGCGGGAGCGTCCGTGTTAGACTGCTACGCTGATGATTTACACCTACCTGGGTACCTATGGTACTTGTTTACACGTAGGTACTTTATATGCACTTACAGGTACCCTTTTTTAAAAGGCAAGTACTAAAGTACCTAACAACTATACATGTAGAAACTTTCAATGTTCGTCTAAAGCATTAAATCTTAAAGGATGAAGAGTTTTAGACGAAGGACGTACCACACTGTACACTCATCAGACGTTATTTGAAGCTAGAATTCCTAAATCCATTAGTAACCGAATTGATCATTTAGCTTCACAACTACACGGTAACATCATTAATAAAAAGCAGCTAAGGGTCGTATTGGTCTAAGTAGGCGCGAGATACATCACCTCCTAAACATCATCAGCTGGACCGACCCTCAACCACCATCTTTCCTCGACTGCGAGCCGCAAGCTCACTTCGAACCCGCCAATATCTATTTATCCAAGGGTATCATCTTTTTTAAAATGCAATGCAATCACATGCTAGCCGTAATAACAACAGTAGTACACATGATCCACCAAAGCCGCATATCCAGTATATCCATCACTCAATGCTACCATCACCATGCAATGCTCGTCATATGTTGCAAACCAGAGACCCTTATGGCTCTGCCTTGTATCTGGGCAAACGCTCTTCTCCCAAAGTCGCTTGAGATTTTAGAGAAAGTCCTTGGTAATTGGGAATATCTTGATCCGATACCGTTCATAACAGAAATAGGGATTCGTCTAACGAAGGAAAGAGGTTGTGTGGTCAAATCCAGCAGGTCCACACATGGGGTGACTTGTTGCCATGCTGCGACGCGAGCGACGGCAATGGGAAGAGGCTTCGTTAGGCTAGATGTAGTTTTTGTTTCGTCGGTCTTGTTCAATCGCCATTGAGACAACATGCTCGTAACAGAAGCCTGTAGTAGAACCAGAACCAGCAGGCATGCTGTAAATATGGCTGGTTGATGTTGGTTGTATGTATCTGATCCGTTTTGTCCTTGTTCCGATTTAATGGGGCCTGTTCCTCCTTGGGAAGGCACATGGATTGATAGTACAAAGGGTAACACATGAAGCGCCATCACACCAAGAGCCGACACCAGTAAGTCCGAGGAAAGTACTGCCAGGTTAGTCTTAAGAATTGACGGGGGCAAAGTAGGCTGAGTGTATTGGCTGCTCGTCTTGGCGGAGTCTGGTGCTGAAGTCGACCGGAAAGTTGACGTAGTAACACTTGCGATCTGGGGAGACTGGTCACCAGCATTAGATATGTATTGTCCTGGGACGGCGGCACTTGGCGCCAGTGCTGCGTCGGCAGTCGGCCTTGTGCGATGTATCGTCCGTAGCGAGAACAGCGACAAAGGCTTATCTAGCCTGAAGCTCTCCGCGGCAGCATCAATTGATGTTGTTGTTCCATTGCCGAATGTTTGGTTCTGCGAGCGGTTTAGACCAGTGCTGTGACTAATCGCGCGAATGCGACTTACGCTCTGGCTTTGGGTAGGTGAATGTCGTTCGTTCGATGATGAGCCAATCGACGAGATTTCTACATTCTCCCGTAGTACTAGGTCAATAGACACAGTACTCAAATTGACATTGCTAGTTGTCGACACAGGAGCCGGATTTTGTTGGTCTTGCTTAGTCGTTGTACTCAACCTAATTGGTCTTAGGCCGGTGGAAGGCGACGATGATGCGAATCGTGATTCGGACTGTCCAGGTGATGCGACATCTAGTTGGGTCGGCGATAGGCTTTCGTCAAGAGACAACGACGCGCTTGTTGGCGGCAATGGGGTTAGTTCGCCTGGACGATCTGGAACATGCCACTTAGGCACTTGGTCAATTTGTCTGTTACCGCCATATAGCGCATCAGTGGATGAGGTTGGTTTGGTGTCCACTATCTCGCGGTATGACGGCGTGTTCGGTTCGCCTGGCGAAGGTGCTCGTTGCTGTTGGAGGGAACGTGTCTGGTAATCTGCATCCACGGATACAGATAGCTGGGTAACGAAGCCTGGGTCGTGGCCTGTACTATCCCGCCTGTGGCTATCTAGTGATCGTTGGTAGTTGGTGCAGTCGGAATATTGAGGACCGGGAACCGCTGCGACTTCCTTGGTTAGGCTTGGATCATCGTCTAGATATGTTGATGAGCCCGGTGAGTAGAGGTTGAAGTCGGCATAATCGTTGCCAGCCTCGCCTCCAGGGTTTAGGTAAGGTGGAAGTAGTGATTGAGTATCACCCTCCACGGTGCTAACCGCTGTATTTTGGGCACTAAGTGTCTGAGCCGGTGTAATCGGTTGTGAAGATGAGAAGGAGTTGGATGATGAAGGTGAGAAGTGGCCCGCAGGGTCCAGAAAGAAATCGTAGTCGTATGGGATGGTTTCGGTTGGCTCTTCGTCGTATTGGACAAACTGGTCCCAATCCATGGTCGATGGGTCGACTAATGATTCTGGCATGATCGAGTCAAACGACGCTGTGCCCATATTTATAAGGTCGAAAGATGACATATCGAGGGGTTGTTCCAAAGGCTCCAGTACTAATTGGGGTGGTGGGGCGGATGGTGCTGCCGATGAAGCAGTCGCCTTCTTGGTCTTTCTGGAAGCCTTGGCTGTAGAAGAACCCGAAGACCTTTTGTGGCTTGGATCACAACGGACTTTCTTCTTCCGGCAAGCATCGCAAGCCTTGATGATTCGCATTAGATGGGCGTGATCACGTTGCTCCTTTGTCTTGCAGCCACGGGACGCAGAGTTGGTGACATCCTTTCCATCCCTGGTCATTATTTTCATACCAGGGAGGTGAGAGAAGTCAGTGGATATCGCAGATTTGCCGTTGGATGGCTTCCGGGGCTTGGATTCACTAGAAGAGGGAGCGTGGCTAGTTTGAGTCCATTGCCTCTCGGACATAACGGGAGATGTGAAATTGGAAGCATAGCCGGAATCTAACATCGATCCAGTAGGTGACTCTGTGGTTGAACCGAGGGAAGGGTAAACCATGAAGAATTTGAATAGTTCCCCAGTAACCATGGAGTGCTCGAAGAACTCCATGGAGACGGCCGCACGCTTTTCGCTGATAGAAGCGGCGCCAGTGACGTAGGCATCAATCATCTCGTCCAGCTGCTTGGAACCCATAGCAGGGAAGAACTGCAAGGGCGCACCAATAGTAGGCTGGTGGACCGAGAAGCCCATGAGGGAGGTGGCAGAGTTGTTGCGCGACATATATGACATCTTGATAATGTTGATGTCGCCAATGGTGTCGCGAGAGTGGTTACAATACAGCTTGGTGGGAATAGCAACTTGTGGGGTTTAGACAAGCGCTGATTCACTGGCGAATGCCCAGAACCCTCGTGATGAATATTGATTGGCGCCAACTTTGGGTCGAGGTTCTAGGTAGGCTAGGGTGGGTAGATAGTTACAATTGGGTACGAAAAACTTGACTTGGTAGCTTTCGTTTCTCGTTTTCCCTTTCTTTTTTCTTAGTGGTTGAGCTCACTTGTGTGCTCGATGGTGTAGGGTGAAGCCAATTCGGCGGGGATCCCGTTGGCTATCGAGATTGATTTTGGTGATGTTGGTGATGTTGTGTGGGTGGGATGAAAGATGTGAGACCTGCTTGAGTCAGGACACCTTGAATGGGCGATAAGGTGCCTGGCTCAGGAGTCAGGGGTAAAGCGAGTGAGAGTCTTCGGGATGGAAGAATGGGATTGATAATTCAGTAGTTAATCTAGTATAGTTAGGATGGAAGAAAAAAGAAAAGGAGGAAAGAAGGAATCGAAGCTCGGGGAGGGAGTCACAGGGTGATATTTCATTCTGACTTTCCCATCTTTTTGTCTTTTGTTATACAATAGCGCGCGTGCAAAGCCTCAATTCAGCAACGGGCAAGAAGGGCGGAGCAGGGTTTTGAGACCCACCCCGGCGAAGAAGTAGCTCGACCGCCTAACCAATCATAGTAGCTTTTAAGTGGGTATATGTATTCCGGATGGCCCTAGCCTCCAAGTACCCTAACCCCCATAATTGTTAGAGCTTCCATACAAAACCGTACACATATTATAGCAGATTTAGTTTCGAGTCCCATCAATGCCGGCGAAGGATGATTGGAAGCCTGAGGCATCAATCGGCGAACCAAACAGGTGTTTTTGACTCATCCGAGAATTGACCAATGCTACGAACCATTCCACCACCAACTAAAAAAAAATAAGCAAGCACTTTACTTTTTTCATTTCAATGCTTGTACATATCTAATGAATAATGAGTGACGTATGTACATACGACGCATACATAACGGAACGCCTTGAAGTTGAATTCAATTGGTTCCTGCTAATAGCAAGTACATACAATTGTAGGAGGTAGGCATTCAAGAAATTAAGAATGGAATATCCTCTCCGATGTATCCTGTTATAAACATAGCAATGCAATGTTAAGCCTAAGCCACGTTTAACCCCCCTGGCGTTCTTATCGGCCAACCCCACCAGATCTAAAAGATCTAGCAGAGCGTCAGGAACCTAATCTTCTCTTCTAAAGGATTAACCTTTTACGGGAGAGAAGGAGGGGATGGCACAGGCGTATGTATATATGTAGCATTAAATTATGATTGCGGGGTTTGAAATTCAAGTATATGTAGATTCAATGTTTCTAACTCTTGCCCTACGTACACTTGTGGTGCACATGTGGTATAATATTTAGGTACTTATGTACCTACCTATATCAATTGATGTAGGCAGGTGTCGTATAGCTGCGTCGCAGTCATACATAAACTTATGAGTCAATACATATAGCCTACATAATATGTACCTACCTATGTACCTAGTATGTAGGTATACTACCTATGTAGGTAGACTATCGTATAAACATACCACTTACATATCTACATACTCACGTATATGTAAATATGTACGCGTACTATACTCACATGCAAAATGTCTAACCACAAATACTCTTAACCTCTTAACTGCGTGTAGTTTCTAGATCCAGAAATACATGAAATTGAAATACGAATATATATATAGTGGACTAAATAGTAAGTTGACTGCTTTGCTGAAGGATTTGCTCATGCCCGCCTATTAGGAAGCATGAGGTATTACTATGGCAGGCAGCTACCTAGTATATAAGGAGGCAGATTGAAGGTAGTCAACACATTAACACATCAACATAAAATGAATTAAGTCGTGTCGCTCGTTATTAATTCGTTTTCCTAACCATAATGCTCAAGATGCTGATCCTCAATGCCAAATGCAATATACCAGAAGGAAAGAAAAGGCCTTAACTTGGGAGTAAGGGGAGTTTCTATTCCAACACCCAAGATATGAAAAAAGAAAATAGGGGTATCAATGCTAAACATGCAAAACGATCTCATAACTCATACTTTGGCCAGACCAAATGAAGCAAAAGGATATAGGCACATAGGAGTTCCAGTGAACTACCTACGCAACAGCTACGACACGGAATCCATGCCATACCGAAGTTTCGACTGATGGGATCCGGTTCCTTGGACGATGGCGGCCGCGAGGCCTGTGACTAAGCTTCTACTCGTTAGCATCTATCATCCGCTAGCGACACGACTTGTTTACTAACTTCATCGATAGCATAGGCCCTGGTCCGGTCTTTCATCACCCATGTCGCGATGAACCCGGTCAATAGTAACACCAAAGAGCACCAACCGATTGCATCCATACTAGCCGTGCAAAGCGACAGCATAAGGCAGCTGCTTTCCTGAATTATTGTAGCTAACACGGGGACTACAATAGAAATTAGATAGCCAACGGGCAGCTTGCCATAACGTAGCAAGAGTATTGGACATTGATGCGACGAGCTAGTTGGGGTTTTCTTCCCTCGCTTCGATCGACAACATCCAAAACGATCTTTACGGGTAGGGCGGAGACCGGATGCATCGCTACTCGTGTCCCATTTGGCGTTGTGATATTGGTAATGCTCGAACAGGTTGCCAGCCCCGGAATTATCGATGTAACCACCATTCATGCTTCCACCACCTAGCCATGGCTGATTCCCTTCGAGATTTGCATTCCAAGAATATCCTGCTTCGGATTCGGTAACGACTACTGACCCTAGGACGGATTCGTCTCTGGTGGATCCGTAATACCATCTCTGGTAAGAACCCGAGCAACTTTCTCTTGTGCATCTGAAATCGAAATCTAGTGCCGGTCGTTCTAGATCATCAGGAGCCTTAGCCTTAGCATGGCAGAGCGTGCACACAAACCAGAACCGTGGAGACATGTCATGGTAGGTGTGATGTTTGGTTCGAAAGTGGTCAGACAACTGGTCAAACGGACCGGTCCAACAACAACAAGAGCGTTCCGACGACGTATCTGACATGGTATCTACCGAGCCCTTATACTCGCATTGCCAACGGTTTGGGTAATCGTGTCTCTGACTACCGATCTCGAGGAATTCGCCATTTACGTGGTTCGGCGATTGACCAGTCATGTCGTTGCCTGGGTGGTAGGTTTGCCCTGGACCCTGGAGCATTGTCTCATCCAGATAAATGGCGTCGGAGTTGAACCGGCTTACTATTTGTTGCACGTCAAAGCGGATTATGTCCTCGTGGTCACTCATTAACGGTGATAGATCAATGAAATCGTTTGATGTAGGGTCTTGATCCGGTGGTCCTGTCGCAGCACCACCCGTCCCAAACGTTTCACGATTTAGTTCCTGTTCTGAGGACATGTGCGGCATAATTTCGCTTCGCTCATGTGATATGCCACGACTCGATGATTGCGGGATTAAGGAACTGCGATAATTCTCTTCTAGTTTACTAAAATCATGACAATCACACTGGCAGTGCATATGTCAGTATGCCGTGGTTCTCTTAAATATTGTCGCTAGCCTTACCGTTATTTTCTTTGCACGGTGGTGAGGGCACGCGAGCTTGAGCTTCCGCTTGAGTGCGGTGTTTAATCTTGTGTTATCTTTTAGCGGTCCTCTTCTCCTACCTCGAGGTTTCCTGTGTCGCTCTCTTTCCTGGGCAGTCAAGTCTTGTGTAGAAGGCGTCTCTGGGTCGTCTATAGGTGAATGAGCCGTGCTGACGGATGGAGCTGCAGGGTTTGGTAATAAGTTTTGTTGGGATGCGACGTGAGTTTGTAGACGTGTGCGTTCATGTGTCTGTCTGATTTCGTTATAGATCCTCTGGTTCTCAGCGGTTGGCTCGACAATGATTCTGAGTGGGTTGCGTGGATCGTAGCTTCTAGACATATGAGGAGGAGCGAAGGGGGATAAAGAAGCTCTATGGTCTTGGGTCGGCGAAGCCATAGTTAACACCGAAAGCGTGTAACGACTACTTTGTCGACCACGCGCAAAAAGTAGATAGCAAGCAGCCTTGCAAGTATACAAGCTCGCTAGTAGATCCCCAACAGGATTAGGAACAGGAATAGGAATAGGCGGGGTGGGAAATGAAATCGTGAAGGATAGTAGGGCAGGGGCTGAACGGCAGGGTTTGAGTAAACGAGTGTCTAAGACGAGTAGATGAACCGAACAATGAGACAAAAAGTCGAGATTGTAGGTTGGTAGGTTGGTAGCCTGGTTGGCTGTGTATAATGATAGTGATAGTTAGGAGGGAAAAGTCAAGATAGGGCAAGACAAATATTTGAAGAGCAACCCGAGAGGTACCTAACAACGTACATGTACTCGCTTGTAGCATCAGTGTAGGTACTGCGCCTAGCTGAGGCTGACGAGGAGGCAGATTTTTTTTTTTTCTTCTCCTTCTTCCCATTAAACAAACCTCCACTACAGATTTCGACCACATGAACTTGCTGACCCCGGATCAACTTACCGATCATTGGATGTCGCTTGGCTTAGAAGCGTTCCATGCGTCATTCGCTTAAACCAAGAGCACCTCACATCGGATCCGAGCTTTAAGCATGAATTCCGGCGACATAATTGAATTCTACCTACATATATGTAGAGAAAAAGACGGCTTCGGCGTTGGCAGTCTTGGACGACACTTAATATTCTCCTTGGCCGAACTTTCGGTGAACGGAGACCAGTGCAGTGCAGAGTATTGTCCTTCTAATATTGAGGTCCGCGAGGATGAGGATGAGGGACATGGCGAAGAAGAGAATCGATTCGAGCGGGGGAATTGAGGAACGAGCCTCCTTGCTTTTTTTTTTTTTCTTTTTTCTTTTCTTTTTCCTTTTCTCTGGTTTCTTTTCCCTGTAAATCCCACAGCATATAGGATGCGGGTGAGAGACCCCACCTACATACCTAATGTACGCAGCTCTCTATATGTATGTAACCACATCGGGAAGACAGGGTATCTATCCATCCAAGTACGTATATCCTACCTAGGTGGCTGGCAATGAAACCAGAATGGCTAGGCTCGAGTTGACACGTAACATGCTGTTCATCTGATATTTAGATTAAGCCAAACGTGCTGCCTCGTGTGTACGTACGAACGAACGTGCAGGCTTGCTGCAAACCTCTGGGTATATTGCGCATCTTAATAGTATCGTCATCCAGTCCTTCTTCTAGCGGTCAAGCAGTATATGCAAGATGTAAGTCCATGCTACATATGCACTGATGATAACTTACTAATCGCTGTGTCATTTAAGGCAGACCCTCTAATTAGTTTATCTGTTCTTGAGTTAATTGTATTAGTCGTTTTGTCAACACGGCTATTTTATGAATTGCATCGCAAGGTAGAAACTATTATATCGTTTCTAGCCTCGTCATAAATTTATTATTGCGTAGCGTAGATGAATATGGCCTTGAATAGTGTTTGCAGACTACTATTTGACGGTCATGAAAATAATTGAGAATTTCCTAAACTTCGCACAAAAACAGGCAACTCGTAATGTCTTACGAAGGTCGAGTGAATTCGAATAGATCGTGAGCCTCTCTACTCCATGGTCCTCCATTGGCTCTAGCGAATCCGGGCATCGGCGCAGTGGCTGTTTCTCGACGCCGATTTTCGAGCCTCGAGGCTCGTTTGTGACTCTCATGCTTCTCAAGGTCTAATGGTTTCCCCACCGCTGCTTCTGCGGGTAAAGGACACTGCGGAACCTGACCGGCAGCATCCGAAGGCTTGGCAGCTTTCTTGCCTCGGGTTGCGGGGTTGATCACTGCTTTCGCCGGTGGCAACCGAACCACTGCATTGCTTTCAGGCGCTAGAGCCTGCATTTCCGGTTTCTCGCTTCGTCCGATTGACTCGGATCTGGGTTGTTTCTGCGGAACACATGGATTCGTCTCCATACGAGATGCTTCCGTATTGTGAGAGTCGATGGACTTAATAGTATCATTTTCATTCGCTATACCCGCTTCATCGACGGGAAAAGTATCTTGAATCTTATCAGTTATGTTGGCTTGGTTACTCGTTATCGTATTCGCATGATTCGCTCGCATTGCTCCCATCGTCGTTCTCTGTACCTCGGAGTCGTCCTTAGACGATTCATCCATTCGGCCTCGTTTGCCGTACCCATCCACACTTCTCTCACCCCTCAGTGCGTTACCGCTACTGTCATCTATTTCTTCATCGAAAATGAACCCGATAACTTCCTTACTACGAATGCTTTTACGGCCTAGATGAGCGAGCCGGGTAGTGGGTACACCGTCGGGTAATCCAAATTCATCTTCATCAGAGGAATACCGTTTTTCATCATATTCTGCCTCTGCCAAATAAATACTCCTACTAGTTTCACTTCGCATCCCTTTCTTCTTTCTCGGTGGTTGCTTTCTGTTACCAGTACCGCCAATGTCCTCTGTTAAAATGGCGTCCTCGCGTGTAGGTTCGGGCGCCATTTTAGAACCGCATTTCGTCATACCACGTTGAATGCGGGTCGACTGATTCTGAGATTGATTTATATCTAGGGGAGTTGGCGAACAGCGATCTTCGTTTTCGATGGACTGAGAGCGATGGACAGAATGTTGTGCGTTTCTAGCCTTGTTACTTGAGTTGGCGCCAATTTGTTTCTTCTGTCGAGGGCGGTTTACTTCTTCGGTTCCGTTGTCCGAAGGCTTATCTCCACTGAGAATATCACTATTAGAGCTTCTCCTTGCGATATCGCTAGGTGAGCTATGACGATCAAATAGGCTTTCGATCGCTTTAGAGGACGACTTGTCCGCATCTAGTTTGCTAGTGACCATTAGCAAGCCACGCTTCTTCCGTGGCTTGATACGCAATTCTGTCCTTGGTTCGCTGATGAAGTTTTCTTGAAGCAACTCTCGGCGCCCTTCGTTGTCGCCCAGTATTCCAGTGTTTTTTCTAAGCTTTGGTTCCGTGGAACCTGCTTTGCCTCTATTTTCTAAACTTGTCGGTGAAGTCACGTTATGGCGCACGTTACTCTCAGTTCCTGTTTCGAATTGATCTGATTTTAGATCTCTCGAGTTTAGGTCTTCTGGTGGCGGTAAAGGCTGTGGTGAGTTTTTTCGCATGTCATGGCCCCCAACTGCTTTTCTTCGCCCTATTCCCGGCTGTTTGGGCCTATTAAGCCGCGAATCTTTTTCAGTCCTTGAAGCCGTTGTATGCGTCAATATAAGCGGTCCGAGCGATTCGGTAGCATATTGACCGTCTATGACAACAGACGACGGTCTCATTGGCTTACTTCGTGCGGAAGGAGTGCTGGCTGGCGTGCCCGAGAGGGTGAGCGCAGCACCGAATAAGCTTTGTGCGTAACCGCCTTTGCTTGGAGGTGACGCCTCTCGCTTCCTTCGCTTTGCAGGGCGATCGTGGTTATTTTCTGGAGATGCAGCTAGTTTCTGTCTTTCTTCATATGGAGATCCAGTAGGCATAAGAGCACGCCCATGATGTCCTGTAGGTGTACCAATCAAATGGTGAAGAGGTTTATGTCGCAACTGGAAATGAGGTGCAACGGCGTTTATTGTAGAAGGGTCTTCAAGCGTGGGGGGTCGGCGTGCAATGGCGGCTGACTGACGTTCGGCTCTTTCCTGGGCTCTCTTGTCTATGAGCTCAGATAGATCTTGATCTCGACTCCCCGTGCATTCGGCGACCTGAACAATGACACCACCTCTCTCAAGCTCGATCTCTTCGCCTTCACCGAAACCGTAGTCTTCGCGCCAGTGGGTATCACCCATAAAGTTGCCATGGCAATCATATACCATGATACGCTTATTGAATGTATGAAACTTCAAGTTCCCGTCCTGCCATCTTTTTTGCTTCCGACGAAGGTCTTTTGTAAAAAGACAAACATATTCGACGACTAGGGCGGTACTAGCGGGTGCCCGTTGACAAATTGAAGATGCTGAACTATGCGCGACTTGCATAGCTGTGGCCATGGTATAGGATGGTAATCTTTGCACATTACATGTAGAGATTGTCTAATAGGGATGCGATATGATGGTTGATCTTGTTGACGAGTCGCCTGCCCAAGAAAAGTTAAAGTGGAACTTCGCACCGCGTCTTTGTAGGTACCGTACCTGTCCGCCTGTGTACATATGTAGGTTCTTGGCTGCCTGCATGTGGGCATTCAATTGTATCCATGTAATTGTTAGGGGCGTGTTTTAAGTTACTACTTCTATGTAAATTCTCCAAGTAGTCGCGTTCTAGATGACCTACTATAACGCGTTAGCACGTGTAGTTTCCCCAATTACATATGTAGTAGGTACCTCTGGTACATATGTACCTAGCCCTACCGCACCAGCTTAATCCACAGACTAGACGCCTTAAATTTTTTACTTTCCAACGGTTTGAAACCTAACTAGATAATCGGAATCCTCTAGACTCGTCTGTTGTATTGTGCCTTGTGCTTAAAATCAACTTCGAGCAGCAACCGTTGTTTCATCGTTAGAACCTCAAGACTGCTAACGAATTGTTGACTCTTGGTCTTTTAAGAAAGCTCCTATGCGCAGTGACGTCTTCTGGCTTATCGTTACCGCGAACATTAATAGGTAGGTACGCGTACCTAGGCACTTAGGTTAGCATGTGCATTATGTACATATACGTAGGTTAGTTACATATGTATATGGGCACGTATGTATTTGTACGTAAGTATTTATTCGGAACGGTGAGAGCCAACTTATAAATTCGTACTAGTACCTAGGTAGCCTCCAGGGCTGCTCTCTTTTAGTTTGTCGGTCAGAAGTAGTTCTATTGCAAGCACCTTCCTATACCTAAAATGAAATGCCTATCCACATACCTAGGTACGGCACATACGGAGGTACATACATATGTAGCATACATAAAGTGCAATGACTGATTTCGTTCCTTCCACGATTACTTATGACTCCTCGTCTCATATCTATTCCCACCTTTCATTAATTGGAAGTTAGGACTGGACAAGAGGGCAACCCCAGTACTTGGCTCGGTAAAGCGGCAGCCGTTCATTCGCTCCTATTCCCACTCATTCATCTCTAAGCAACATTAAGCTACATAAAGCAAGCAAAGCAAGCATCTTGTACCCTACATATGTAATACCTGCAGCTTCGTGTTTCCGGTCCTGTTTCTGCCTACTCTCTTACCTGCCTCTTACCTGCCTCTTACTTATAACCTTTTTTTTTTTCGCCCCCTCCTCCTACTTCCTATATTTCTTGTAACGTAAAACGAGAGAGGCGCAGCTCGATCGGTTAACATACCTCGCTGATTAACTTCCAAGATTGCTTTTTTAATCTTCCACCTTCATCAGCTGAAGGACGAAAACCCATCCTCTACAATAATAAGTACCTATCAATCCCTAAATCGATCTGCAATTGGCATCTTCCCATTACTTGTCTCATTCACCTGGGATATAAGATTATAGCGCAAAGACCCTTCCGTCATGCCTATACCCTGAAGCTGACAACCCCACATACTACCTTACCTACCTAGGTACCAATCTGCATAATAATCAGCCAAAGGAAAGATAGAAAAAAAAAAAAAAAAAAGAGACACCCCACCAGGTGCCTCCTGTTCAGACCAAGCAATCAGACGCGGAAGATTTAGTGCTGTGACGAAACTCAGCTTGCCCAAAATGCAGTCCATGCAAAGACAATTCGGGAAGCTACTCCATAAGAGTCCCGGAGACAATGCCAAAGTTGCCGTATTATTAAATGACTATGAAGATGCTGATAGGGTCCTTGCTAAGGTAGGTAAGAACAAGACGACATTTCCCCTTCACCCCGCCACCCCTAAGATACACAAGTATACTGATAGCTTTGCGCCCTAAGATCATTGACCATGCTAAATCATGGCGAGAGTCTTGGATCTCTCTGGCAATGGCGCAGTTAGGCATAGTCACCGAATACGATGGTCTGTGGGATCCCATAGTCGGCGCGTCCGACGGACATGGCAAGCCAACATTACCCACACCGGATCTTCAACTCGAACGCACCCTGAAATTAAAAGAAGCTTATACTGAGCTCAAGAATGAATTGCTCGAAGAAGTTGGTCTCATAGAATCGACTATACTTAGGCCTGCGACGGATGCCCGCGACTGCATTGCACCATTAAGAAAGACGATCAAGAAACGGGAAAACAAGAGGCTAGACTACGAGAAGAGTCAAGACAGAGTCAACAAACTGCAGAGGAAATCCGGCCGGTCCCCTAAAGAAGAAGCAGCTTTAGCAAAAGCCGAGGCAGAAGTTGCACGTACGGCAGAAGTACATCTCCCAAACTTATATATACGAAATATTACCTGATCAATCATGAAGACTAACGATTCGGGTAGGAATTCCACGTTTCAGACTCGCACTTACGAGAGACATTGCCGCCACTTGTGTCTGCAACATTCAGTATAATACCACCGCTAATAGCAGGTGTGGTAACGATCCAGAATAGGCTACTTGGACTGTACTATACCACGCTTCATAATTACTGTCAGGATTATGGTTTTCCATCGCCGCCGCCGCCGATGGAGAGTGTAATATCTGCGTGGTCGGCCGACTATGAACCAATTAAGCGCGAAGTTGAATCAATAACTTGCATCGCAACAGGTAAGGCTGTTAGACAACCCATGAAGCTGCCGGACGATCCAAGTAATCCAAACAACAACGACAATGATCGGAAACCATCCACTTCTTCTACGTCATCTGGGCCTGTTCAAAACGACAACCCCCCTCTGCCTGGTCCGCGGCCGAGTCGCATTCCCTCTTCGACTTCTTTAGCTTCATCCCAAGCAAGCCCCGTAATTCAGTCAAGACCGTCGCCGTCCTTTCTTAACAACAACCACCTGACCCCCACCGATTTCACTACCGCTTCTCGGCTCGGTCAAAATTTGACACCATCCGTTTCGCCTGGTTCGCAGCAACCCCGATCGGATTATTTCGGTCGTCCGTCCACCGCGTCAACGACGGCATCCAGCACCTCTGCCAACACCGCCGTCAGCGCATTCTCGGTAGCAGGCAAGAAGAAGCCTCCACCCCCGCCACCAAAGAAAATTGGCACGAATCGCCCTGAGGAATTTGTAGTCGCGCAATATGCCTTTACAGGGCAGAATGCGGGCGATTTGTCCTTTCGCGAGGGTGACAAGATAAGAATAATCAAGAAAACAAATACGGATCAGGATTGGTGGGTTGGCGAATTAGACGGTGTCAAGGGCAGCTTTCCAGCGAACTATTGTAAAGCGAATTAATAGGCGGCGGCAAGCGCATTATGTGCCATGGTATTTAGGACTTAAGGGTTACGGACAAGCACATTGGGCGATAAGATGCGGTATACTAATAAGAAGTCGAAACAACTTTTCTTTTCCTGATATTGGTTAGAACTAGTATCATCTCCTTGGCCCTTTAGTTGGAAGGGCCAGGATTGGATGGATAGTGAATGAGACGCCATTTGATCAGGAGGATATTAATGAACACGGCGGATAAAATGCAAAGAAAATAGTAAAAGGAGATTGGGGCAGGCCGTATAAAATTATCACCCTAGGTCTTGTTAATGAAAACAAACGCAATACGAATCATGTCATGGTCGCCGGCAAAGACAAGATTCGATATTTTCCTCTGTTTATTCCGTAGAATATGCATTCATTCTGCGTGCGTCCACTCAACAATGCCGAGTCGATTCTCGGACACAAGGAAATCATCGTAATATATCTCCATCTGATCCATCTACAACATCCTCTTAGTTACAATCCTTCCATCCTCCCATTCCAATAGCAACACGAACGGATCGCCTACTCGTGGGAGCTGCCCCTTAGCGAGTAGAGCGAGAAATAAAAGAAGTCTATAACAAAGTCCAGAGACGAAAGGATGGGTACAGGAGTAAAAAAGACTATGAATATCAGACCGCCTCGCGATTTGCCAACCTGACTGCCGTGTTCCTTGCGCCTGTGGAATCCATGCATGCAAATGTAGTCGTATCATCCAGTCTTTGATGAGGATATCGGGGGTATCATAAACGAGACAAAGGAGACATCGCGGCTTGGAACGCCGGTACGTGTACTGATCCAGAGACTATAGACTATAGACAATAGCCAGCTGAGACAAAGGGCGGTGGTATAATGACAGGTCGCCCAATTGGGGTGTGGGGGGTTAAGAAAGAATGGCGCCAATGATACGGAGAACAGGAGTTCCTTCCCGTTCTTAAAACATGCCGAGATTGATGTGCAGTCGTGGTTGGTATAGGTGACTGAACCATAGGTCCAGTAGTCACTGGGGGCGGCGTTGGAAAAGGAATATGGCAGTCGATGACGCTTCATATCAGCAGACCCAGTGACAACAGTAGCAGCACTGTGCTGTTTGTCATAGGCGAAGATACCGTACTCAAAAGGTGCTGGGACCCAATTCTACAGCCGGGGATGTCGCACCCTCGCGTCGTTTGCGATCCTCTTCGGCCCTAATAGCACGAGCGATCTCTTCAACTTGAGCATCCGTCGGACCCCGCGCCCCTAAATATCCGCCCTCATCAGAACCCTCCAGTTCCATAGGTGTCACAGGCCCAGGCGAACCCAACGGTGCCAGTCGGGGTTTACTCGGTTTGGACGACATGCTGGTGAATCCAATCGTCCTCAGCGAATTAAGAGTGGCCGCATTAACGTTTCCACCATTAAGAGCCAACGTTGCTTGGGCAATCATGTCGCGTTGGTATTGTTGTAGTCTGCGTTTAGCATCCGACTCGTTACGCGAATGTCCCATCGCCGAATCCCTAGTAGTAGGAACCTGGGTTTCCGACTTGGACGACACCGGGGGTATAGGGTTCGAGGTGGGTGGTCTAGTCTGTTGCCTGCTTCGCTTCTCTTCTTTCCTCTTTACGTAGTTGGATGGGTAGTATTTGCCCATCGGTAGAGGGCTGTCCTGAGTGCCGGTCGGCATGTAGCTGGCAACGGGTGTGTTGGATCCGGAATCGAAAGTAGACTCCGGCACACTCGAAGCATTCTGCGGCGGCGGTGCAAGTCGCGCGGATCGTTCGGCCATGGTTATAGGGAGGGTTGTAGATGGGATTACTCCCGTCGCTGCTGTGGTGGATATGATTCTGTCAGCGTCAGGGGAACCTGACTGGCCGGCACGTTCGATAGATTTCAAGCGAGCCTTGGAAGCATCGAGTTGAAATGGATGAGGGCAATAGACTCGATTTTGATCTTCGTGCAAGGGGAAATAACCACTGCGGAGAGGGATTGTTAATTAACTAGCGCACGCTCGATCCCAAGTCAAGTAACATACCCAGGAAGATCGCCTCGGGCGGAGAGTGGTGCAGGTGGAGTGTAGACAGGGGCGCTGTTGACTTTCTTGGTAGTAGGCAATTCGATAGCAATTGGACGAGTGCGCGCTGGTGTTGATCTAGGAGAGTCGAACAAGGACGGTTCTTTTTTTCCTGAATCAGTTGGCAGCTTTATTAGTATGGCATATGACGCAGTCCCAAGTAATTAAAAGCAGCCATGGAAAAGAAGAGGGGCAAAAGGGCAAAGGGGTACAGGTTGGAGTGCATTTGATGTTTCAAAAAACGGGGGTGGGAAGCGTTGAAATGGCACTTCGTCAGTGGTCAACTAAACCCCCAAGGACCCTATTAAAAATAACCTTGAACAAAAAAAGAGTTGGAACACCTGAAAGGCAACGGCGGGTATCCTTGAAATGCACCCCGCCCTGCCCCTGCCCGCCTGCCCGCCTTAGAGGAGGGGCGGATAGTGGAGAGCGTTAGGTTCGTTAGTGGCTTATTAGCGTGGTCACTTGGGGGGTTCACTGTCCAACCAAAAAAACTTACTAATCTTCACCGCAGTCCGGCGAGTCGGAGCTAACTTAGCAACGGACTAGAAAAGGAAACCAACTAAATTAAAATAAGAAATGGGGAAGAAAAGGAAGAAAGAAGAAAAGGAAAATTAAAGATCTTCTATTCTTTTTTTTCTAGTTGCTTCAGCACACCAAAACTCCCTTCACCAATTGAACTCCGGTTTTGTCTCCGAAACGAGATCAACTAATTATTAATAGGTAGGTACCGAGGGGTAAAGACAAAGCATCAAATAGGAGAGAGAGAAGAAGAAATGGAACCTACCAACTCCACTATTAGGTCTCAACTTCGGGGAAGCACCGGGTTGTTTATAATGCGATTTATCCATCGGGAGGCTCGGCGAGGGTCTCGTGGAGAAGATAATATCATCCTGCCGAATGTCGGGAGAAGAGAGCGGTGAGGCTTCGGATGAGCTAGACATGGTTCTCGCGGGCGGCGGCGGTCGTCTCTTCATAGACATTGAAGACAGATACGAAGAAGGCTTGAACGAACGGCCGAAACTTGCCATATTATCGTCAGCGCTTCTAAGTCACAATCCACCAACCCACCCTTGAAGCCTATCTCCAGATATAATGTGTAGGGAGTGTCTAATCAACGGCAGAAACGAGTTAGTCAGTAACACTCTTGAGAGAAGTCGTCTAATATGCTCAGTACTGGGGTGCTGGACGATGATGGTCTTGACTAGTCACGGGAAAGTAGGTATCTAGGTAGTTAAAAAAGACAGAGTCGGATATCTCGATATTTTAGGAGCTGCTATCCAGATTGTTCTAAGCGTCGAACGAGCTCGGTTGATATGGCGCGCTACCTAGGTAGTTGTTCGTATGGTAGGTTCACCTGGAGATTTATGTTGCTTCTTGATTTCCGGGATGATAGCACGTTGTGTGTGTCTGGACCGGGCCCAGAAAAAAACGCAGAAGTTGTTACCCAATAGGCGACAGTACTTTGCGGCTGCTTGTATATGTCACGAAGCAAACATGACAATGTAATGAATTGAAGAGGAAAGCAATTTTTATCAGGTGTCTTACCTTTAGCAAGAGTCGCTGGTGGGTCCGTCGTTGAACGTGAGGGCTGATACCTCACACTACGATTCGTAAAACGGAGTGTGATATTGTCAGAATGTGGTTCAGCCCATGGACGATCGACGTTACGGCTGGTCTCGGATTGCGTAGCGTGGGTAGATATGTAGGTAATGTAGGTTGGTCCAGGAGGTCTACGAAGTCTAGGTGTGGTGAATGTTGGATGCTGGATGCTGGATGTATCCACAGGGCAATTTGACCTCTGACCGTTGATTGACCGGTGGGTGGGTGGATGGATGGATGGATGGATGGATGGGTGGACAGATTAGATGAAGAGGTGGATGGATATATTATGTGAAAAAAGACCCGCTCGTTCTCTACCTTTGACCCGGCGGAGGGACGGCAGGCCTTGGCATCTATCGTAGATTTTAAGTCGCTCGAAACCGTGGTGGTTCGAAAAGGATAGCAGATGCCTACTGGTAGTAGAGATGGTAGAGATGGTAAATGCAAACGTGATGGTGAGTGTGTATGGTGGATGGTAGGCTTGCAAACGTCAACGCTACCTACCACTACCTCCCACCACACCACTCATTCACTCATTCGACCAAAGCACCTCCGAAGCGGAATCCCTGGGAGGTATACTTGGATAAATATCTGCGTAAGCAAAGTATTTAAAAAGTTGAACTTAACCAAGTTCCGTTCCAGAAAGGCGACAATTCCTTGGTTTGTGGTAAGGCTATTCGAAAGGAATACGTTCCTACTGTGTCTACATAAGTACCTAGTAATATCGTACAGTAAAAGCACGTATATCAGATATGGGTGCGTACATTTTGTATACATATGTACCTAGAAATGTACATACGTATATGTGCGCATTATTAACCAGTCGCATTGGACAGAAGAGAGAAAGAAATAAGAAAATGGGTTATTACCTACTTTGGATGTGGCGTGGTTCTAGGAACATACTCTGATTGACGATCATTAAAGATGGGTTGATTCTATTGGTGTGAAACAAACGGTGGTGAGCATAAAAGGTTGCTTGTTATATGTCTATGTTTATGTATATGTAAAGGTGTAGACATGTGTACCTCGGTACCTAAATTATATGTATATTTTAAAAAGTAAATAATATGTAAGAAATATCTTATTAATTTAATAAAGAAAATAAATCATAAATTTATATTTTTAAAAAACATTAAAAATATTTAAATATTTATATGACGAACTTATGCCTCGGAGAGGTATAATCGTTATTAAATTAATTAATCCGGGGTGTCTTAATTTAAAAGTAATAATATTAATAATAAGTTAAGTAGTTAAGTACGTTCTGTTCGTTAAAAAGGCTTAAAATCCTTTTATTATACTTAAAAAAATAATCTTAAATTAATAATTAAAAAGTTATAAAAAAATGATTAAATATATAAGAAACATCTTATAATTATATAATTATTCCTCTTTCCTTTCTTATACCGGATATGTTAAATGTGTTCCTTATACTGGATGTATTACTGGTCGACATATTTAATTATCCGAGGTTATATCATTATTAATTATATCAGGTCTTACTCATCCTTTAAAAGCGGGTATAAGATTCCTGGTTTATGATATTATTCCTTCCTTTTTAAAATCTTTATCTTAAAGATTTCTTCTTTTTAATAAATCCTCTCCTTTTTTCATTTATTTTACTTAATATATCTTCTTTTATTTTAAAGTTAATTATATATTCTTATTTAAATTAATATAGTAAATATAAAGTTTATGTTAATTATATAAAAAGATATGAATTTCTTATTTTATTATATAATAACTATGTTAATTATAAAGAAAATAACTGTTTTTTTATATTTAATAATACATATTATAATCATTATATTCATTATTAACATAAGTAATATAACATTATTAAAATAAACTCTTTTAAATAAGTTTCCATAACTTAAGAATGTTTAAAAAAGGAACATTAGGATGTTAAAAACAACTTAATTTATTTTTAAAAAGAATTCTATTTAAAGATTTTAATAAAAATAAATAAATTATAATAATTATATTAATAAGAGGATCTCTTTAAGTATTATAACCTTTAATTATTATAATAAGGTATAAAATTAAATGATGTTAAAAAAAGGAATTATTTAATAAAAAAATAAAGGTTAATAAGGGAGTAATAACATATCGTCGAGATATAAATTAATGTTACTTTTATAAACAATCCTTTTATTAGATTTTTTATTAAAGATATAAGTTTTGATCTTTTATTAATGGTCGATTTAGGTTTTAATAATAAAAATCCTTAATTAATTCTTAAATCCTCTTATTTATAAAATGTTTTTATAATTCCCAGGTATTATTCTCTTTTAAATAATTAAGCTATTTAATAAAATATTTAATTTAGTCATTAATAATTAATGGTTACATAAATGAAGGACACGTGATTTATTTAATCATCATGCTTATCTTTAAGTAGGTTATGTTTCTTTCCTACTCATATAAATAGACCTTTCTTTCTTAAACATCATAATACACATCATCTCATCCTTAATTACTTTATTTTATTTATTATATTATTTTTTTTCATTTACATACATATCTACTAATACTGATCAATATTATTAGATAATTAATAACATAGATTAATAAGGTTAAAAGAATCACTGATATAACAATTTGAAAGATCTTATTATAATAATATAAATAATACCAGCATATCTGCTTCCATTTAAATTATTCTTTTATTATCCTGTTTATGATGGAATATTACTTTACCTTATTATATAACCCTTTTAAACCCTTATTTATATACTGTGATTTAGATTCTTTATCTTTTATATTTTTAATTTTATTATTTTTAATTTCTATATATATTATAATGTTATAAAAGGAAAGTTTAATATAAATATAAGTATATGCCATAGAAATTAACCTGGTTAAATTAAAGAATATGGATAAATTATAAGAATTAATGAGTTATCTCCTTAGCTGAATAATGACTTTTATATAACATTTTAACCATATAGTAATAAAATAGGAAATCATTAACCTTTAAAAAGCTATCTTAGAATAAAAGGTAATTTAAATATTACTTATATTAATAAACTTTAAGATTATTAATAAGAATATATCATATATTTATATAATTAAAAAAACAATAAATAAATATTAAAAATGGTTTTAAAACTTTATAATAATAGATTTCATTAACATATTAAAATAATTAAGATTAATATTAAGAACTATGTTAATATAATAGGGTATTTATATGGGATAGTATAATGTTAACCATATAGAAATGTTTGTTAATCTTATATTATCATACAAGTTACCAATATGGAATTCTAACAAATTGAAAGTAATGAAATGGAGATGGTTTAATATATTAATATAAAAGGTATTAATATATAATATTAAAAAAGGATTGGTTTATTTTAAAGCTTATATATTCATATATATATATGTTACATCATAATAATAATTAACAATTTTTAATTTATAAATATTGATATATATAATAAGGTATGTGGATCAGGATCCGGTTCTGTTAATAATCTTTATTAAATCATTATCTATTCACTTACTTTACGCAGTACATAATCCATAAGGAATGCCACCTCCTACCCATAACAACCTACCATCATAAAGACCTATTATTTAATCTCTTTTTTAATAAATGTCTAGTTCTTATTTAACCTTTTTCCTTCCATTTTTATAAGATAACTAAGGTAATCCTTAATTATTAATAACTTTTCTTCTCCCTTCCCTATCTTAATAAGGAATAATTATATTTCTTTAAGCTATCTTAGGTAATAATTATCTTAATATGTTGGTATTTATAACTTAATAAGGGTATAACCTAGGATATAATCTTTAATATCCTTATAGTAATAATCTTATATGAAAAGAACAACCTAACTTGTTAGTTCCAGGAAATATATCCAGACCCCCTGGACTACCACTAGATAATTTATATATAACATTGGTGATTTATGACGAACCTATGCCTCAGAGAGGTATAATCATTGTTAGATTAGCTAATCTAGGTTTTCTTAATTTAAAGATAATAATATTAATAATAGGTTAAGTAGTTAAATATATTTTTATTTATTAGAGAGATTTAAAGTCTTTTTATTATATTTAAAAGAATAATCTTAGATTGATAATTAAAGAATTATAAAAAAATAATTAAATATATAGGAAATTTTTTTTTATATATCTTTTATTTAAATGGTTTTTATTCCTTAGATAGAGACCTTTAAAGATCTTCTTTTTGTTTATCTTTGTGATATTCTTAGAAACCTTTTTTTTGTTTATTTCTATGATGTTCTTAGAGATTATTAAAAGTTATTATATAAATCTTGATATATAGTCTTTATTATTTTTATAGAGATTTCTTTTTAATTAATTATCCTGGCTTTATTAGGTCCTTATTCCTTAGCCTTCTTTTTATTAGGTTATAATATCATTTCCTTTTTTTGAAATTCTTGTTTTAAAGATTTTTCTCAATATATCTCTTCCTTCCTTTCCATTACATTTCTATTAATAATCATGGCTAATCATATATTAAAGCCTCTTCGGAAATCCCGAAAGGTATCCTCAACTAAGAGTCGTCATTAATTAACATTTGTTATTAAAGATCTAAATGTTAAGGTTATGTTTTATAATTATTATTTTAATAATAAATTAAATTGTATCATATTAAAAGACATAAAAGGATATTTCTGATATAAATTTGCTAATATCTCTTATAATAAGATATATATTCTGTTTAATTTTTTTTATTATATTTAGGATGAATGTATTCATTTCTTCAAAAAAAAAGCCGATATCTGGTAGGAACTTCAAGTAATATTTAATCATCAGAAAGAACTCTCTATTCGTTTTATATATATTAAATAATTATAAGAGATATTAAAGGAAAAAGGAATGAAAATAGTTTAATATAACTTTTTAAATCTAGAAAAAATGGAGGAATAAGAACAATTAACCATAGAAAAAGAAAAGATAAAGATGTAAATCAATGTTGCTTCTTTGGTCGACCCCTTCACCAAATTCTCCCTTAAGGATGTAAGTTTTGATATTTTATTAATGATTAATCTGGGTTCTAATAATAAAAACCCTTAATCAATGTTTAAACCCTTTTATTTATAAGATATTCTTATAGTTCCCAGATATTATTTTCTTTTAAATAATTAAGCTATTTGATAA